GGCTACCTTCATTTGCGGCTATTCGATAGAGCTACAATTATATTTTAACCAAGACGAAAACACATATTTCGATAAGTCACCATTTTGGGTACACACTAGAATTACAATGCCATCCATAGATAACAGCCGGATTCTTAATTACGAACACTATCAAATTTCATACTAATGTAACACATTAAAATTAACGGCACATTAGTATACGAATCACACCTTTAATCACATGTTACAAACACTTAAACGATAATATTTCAGTAAAGGTAATGCGATTTCTTTTAGTAACGGTCCAATGTTTGAGGCCAGTGATAAACTTTCACGATCAAGTGCAAGCATCTGTAGCACTAAGAACTACACGATTAGTTTAGTCCGATCACGACACACGCGAAGTGTTTGATAAAGAATTCACGACGCGAGCGGCCCGCGCGTCCGGCTCACCGCGTCCACTGCCGGCGATACCATAGCATTAACTAAAACGGATCCAGTAGTAACTCATGGGTGCTGTTGAACTAGCACGTGCTCAAAGTGTTCTTATAGGCGCTATACGCGATTGATTTAACTGAACAGTTTTAACGCCAAACTACTAATACATCACTTTGACATACAAAAATAGCAGTGTTAGGTTTAGTTCAAAAATAGGCGGCCACAGGCGGATGTCCGTGATTATATTTAAAGCGCCACTATGCTGCTGTGTGGATTTTACACGCCTTTCAAGGGATAACTCATTCGTTTGACTGATCTTTAAACATTCCTATCAATACTCTTAATACATTCCGTGCTGTAATGGTAACCATTCACGCATTTTATAACACATTACATTAACCTGGTATAATCCGGATAAACTGACTAAAAATTACAAAAGGCAAAGAAATAATTATATAATTGTTTATATACACGGTTGCAAAAGTTTGTAATGTAAAACTATAATAAACCTAGTAATTATATAAAATAATATAATAACTATATAAAATTATTTTTATATACTATAGGGAACAGGCTGATCAATTACTTAATATGAAGGCACAATCACAGACCACACAACATACATACAACCCATTTAGAATATTTTCCCTGATTTTTGTGTAGTGCACAAAAATTATATGGCGAAAATATGTAGTTTATATATTGCAAAAATTATCATACGAATTTTTTTTATATCTTGGTTATCGAAAGAAAAAAAAAACTAACACTGTATAAAATTTGTTACAACAGCAAATAAGTACTATAAGTATTTACATTCTGACGTTATCTTTGTGTGACACTTGCTGAATTGTGATTATAAATCATACCGCTAGATGGCGTTGCATGTAAATAAAACTAGTAACTACATTTATTCAGAATTTAGCATTCTAGTATTTACATTTACAATAACATAACAACAGAAATTATCAAGTAGAACCTCTTCAGGAAACACATTAGCCATTGCATCACATGAAATCATTGCTTCCAGAAACAGTGAATTTAAAGCCTTCGTTGCCATTGCTTCACAGAGACCAGAATATTTAAATTCGTCCCTCGTCTCGAAATGTTCATCCTTTAGTATTTATATGACATCTCGAAATAGTATATTACCAAACGTGGCATCACTTTGAGAACGCATTACGTCATCTATTGACATATAGCGACAGTTAAAATATTCAACGAATCAAATAACAAAATAATTTAAATTTAATTCTGTCATGTATTTTCAAATGCAAAATATACCGAACAGTTCAACTATATAACAAACTGACTCCAATTTCATTCTGACGTTTTATTTTACGATACATAGGGTTACAATTTGTCGCAAATTACCTAACGGATTGATAATAAAGATCGAAAAGTTGTGAATAATGGTTTATACTAAAGAAAATTACTAGAGAAATCAATTGTAAAGCAATATGAGAAGATTCGTGGCTTACCCTTGATATAACATTACAGCACCACATCCGGAAATAAATATAGGTATAAAAAGTATATTGGAACACATGAACGGTAATATCAATAACTTGTTTTCAGACAAAGATCTGCAACAACCCTCGCTTTGTTTCTCCGGGATGAGTTGTGGCACTTACAATTGTAATCTTAAAAACTTCAATGGCGTCACTATTGTACTAATCTACAATCTTGTATAATGTTTGCTTTATGTTATTAACAAAGTGATGTTGAGTATTCAATATTCAACATTATTGTGAGCACGGATAGTCTCAAGATACGTAGGTCACAGGTTAAATATACATTCATTATACACGTAATGGGACACTTAAGAACTTTTGTACTCTTAAATATAACATACATTATTTGCCTAAAGTAAGTAAGCAGGTACCACAGAATGCACAATAGTACACAATTTAGTTTATGAAAAAATACATATTTATTGTTAAGTACTCTTCTACAGACAATGCTGCCGACGAGAAAAAAAGCTAATAAGAATACATGTACATGAGCAAAATAATAAGAATTACGAGTGGTTATAATAATAAACTATTATAGCCAGTAGTTAATTGAAGACTATGATGTATTAACAAACATAGCTTAAAACATAATAATTTAATAAAAGTAGTAGTAGCAGCAGTTACAACGCTAGGTACATAAGTTCTACACAAGTAAAAACTGCAAATCTGAAAAGCAATATCTTCTAGAAAAATCAAGTAATAGTTTCTGTAATTAATACTCAATAATTGTATGGTAAGTACAAAGATAATAACGAACGTAATAATTATATTCTCACGGTCAAGATAACAGATCTGGCTCACAGCTGTTGCGCGATGCGGCGCCGCGTCACCGTCGCAACGCGTCTCTCTTCGCCCAAGCCACCCCCTAATCGATACACCGATTTTACACCCTATTCGATTCTATACCAACACACGTGCTTTTTATAGTAAGTATATATATTTAGATAACTTAACACTAGTAGATACGAGGAATGCATTATACTATCTTACATAATTAGAAGCACTTGATCGATATTTTAATTGTTGGAATAATGAGCGCGATGGTATACTTTTGGCAGCGGATCAGGACACGTGCGGTATGGACGAGTGTGCTTTGAGTTGGGTGCAGCGCTGCACCTCTGCTAAGTTTAGCACGGACCGCCGGCAGTGGGTGCGCGAATGCGTTGCGTGCGGCGACGGGCGGTCGGGCGCGGTGTCTCGGTATCGATTTGTACTGAAGGAGCACGCGTGTCGCGTGGCTACCGGCGCGGCGCGACCGATACTGGCCGTCTGCATTTCGCGCAAGCGCCTTGCCCACCTCTTTAGACTAGAGAATATACCCATAACATTTTGCCTACCTTGCTTTATTCATATTAAATAATATTTAAATTACCACTTCGTATTCGTATAATACATAAATTTAAATACCAAATACATTAAAATATTTATATAATTATTTAATCATCTATCAAACTTGAATTGCCTGAATATTCATAATATTACACTTTTCTATTCGTAATTAATAATTATGAACCGGTCAAAACAAGATGGTGACCGTTGCTTGTTGTGAAGTATCGTAGACATTAATGAAACTAGCTAATCATTATAGGTCAAAGTTGTAAGACAAACATAATGTGATAAATTAATAATTTGTCTGATAGGCACATATCTTGCGAAATGCTTCAGTGTAGTTAATGTGGATACTGATTGCAAATTTGCAACAGCTGCTCATTGTCCGTAGTGTACACTTGTGTAACATTTAAATAACAATACGGACAATACCATAAGCGTATATAGTAGTAAGTCATATATATTAGGCACATTGATTGAAGTAGAAAAAGTATAATCCATCACATTTAAAATAAGTATTGTTGCTAAGTAACAGTTTGTGTGTAACGTGCAACTGCAATCGGAACGAAATAAATTATATTTACAACTGTATACGTAATCCACTGAATATCTCTATCAGGGGGCGGTATAGGTCCAACAGAAATTGTTAGTATTTTAACAGATTTAATTTTGGATATGTTTTTTGCTAGTAGTTCTATTGTTTACTCTTCTGTATATTGTTTTATATTATGTATGTTATTTAAATGTAGAGATGTAGAATGTCTTAAATGTAATGGATTAAGGGACCGTATTAGGCACATTGATTGAAGTAGAAAAAGTATAATCCATCACATTTAAAATAAGTATTGTTGCTAAGTAACAGTTTGTGTGTAACGTGCAACTGCAATCGGAACGAAATAAATTATATTTACAACTGTATAAGTAATCCACTGAATATCTCTATCAATATACAGTGCAGAACGTCAATGAAAAATATTGTTTTTATTTTTTATTTTTATCCCCAGGATGCCGTAAAAGGCGATTAGGGGAACGGAATACAATAATATATATATATATATACAAGAAAAAGTTACAAGGGACTACAACATATGAAATAAATGAAATAAAACCAAGCAGCATTTAAATAGACACTTCGTATTGTATTTTAATTATGTCTAACATTGGGATGTAAGCAACTAATTATAAGTATTTAGGAACGTATAAGATCTCATCTTAATACGGAATATGATCTATACATTTAATTAGCAGACTAATAAAAGTAGCAATAATTAATTGAATGAACTCGTTTTATAGTGAATTTCCAACTTATACACTGAACTATATCTGTACAGTATATATTAAAAGATCTTGTATATATTTTTAGTGAATATAACTTATTATAATGATTTATTTTATTAAATTTACTATAATGATTTATTTGTTTAAACGAATACCGTCTAATATTAAACATCACCAATTCACACAAATCTCAATAGTCAGTACGTACCGTGATCTCTACATATTAATTCACTTCAATTTCCGTTAATAAGGAAAAATATTGACACTAATAAAAGACAAGCGTGTAAAGAAGCAAAGTTGCTGGCTGCACAATGAACTCCCCACAACAGATGCATTCCGTGTACTCCATATAACATGTATTCAATACATACATTAATGATTCGATTGGCCAGTACAACGATGAATGAAATAGTAATTCTATTTATAACACTATAAAAATAATATGCGTCTACAATTAGTACTCACGAAAGTAATTCAGCGTCTCCCTGATCTGGTCAGGCGTTAGTGCAAGATCGTCCGAACTCAAGGGTAGCGCTGGCGATGGAATAAACCAGTCTTGATTCTCGTACCCTGAAACATAAAGATGCTTATTTCAAGTTAAACGCTTTACACAAATATAGCTAGCTGATACAGATATGTTCAACAAACATCGTTTGTAGTTCAACAAAGAGGAATTGTTAATAAAAACAATTTATTAGGGGCCCGGGCTGGATGATTGATGTCACGGGACGTGTGTGCTGAATGTGCGTGCTGAATCATATCCAGCAAATTCCACAACCGCAAGCGTAGAACACTCAATTCGGCAACACACTGTATTTGCACACTAAATTGCTCCTTTAGATTCAACCAAAGTTGATACTTGATCAACAGAAAATAAACGATTCAAGACTTACAATATTACTTTATTTATAAAATGCACAGTAACTATTTTATATAATTATATATAATATCATACCTAATACTTGGAATATTATCAAACATACATGTAGGTACATGCTCGTGACTCATGACGTAGTCAACGACGATGGATATAAAATATATCACTTAAACCTATTACCAGGGTCAAAGACATTGTAATTTAATGTAGAATACTAGATTCTACAATAGGAATTTACGTAGTATACAATAGTCTCTTAGATCTTTTCATTTAAATCTAAGAAATTTCACAAATCTGTACATGTTATTAGTACTGACTATAATGGGTTTCCCTATCCTAGCAGTACTATAATTTTAGCAACACAGACAAAATTAGCATTGCACCAAACAACACAGGAATAAGCACCCCTTTTAAAAGGTATCTTCAGAATATAAGATTAGATAGCGTTACATACATAAAAATATGGTAGTATTTTTTTTATAAGTTGTTGTATAGATTTGGCCTAAGGTATTGACCCTGCTAAAGACATTGCCTAGTGCATCTAGCTGACAGATGGAATGCATGAGACTGGTTGGGGACGCATACGGCGCATAGTGGTCGCCGGACGATGACTCGAGCGATGAGACACCATTATTTATAGCGTCTCCGAGCACCGGCGCCGGAAACCGCGCCTCGCACACTTATTGGGACGGAACAAGGTACACACATTTATAAATACTTAATTATTGTTTCAATTGACTGAATCTAAATAAATACACATTACTTGTATGTAAACTATATAGAATTTATAAAGGTATTATTTTCAAGTACCATTTTTAATAGGATTTTTTAGAATATTATCATTTACTTGACGACCTTTCAAAAAGCATTGTTATTCACTGCATACAGCTGATAAATGTATGCGTACGAGTCACATAGTATCTGCCTTTTTCGGTAAACTTTGTCTATACTCCAAAATACTAACTTAATAATGTTATTGACAAGGTCGCACATTGTCAGAAAGGTTCAATCAAATCAGCTTTCGGTGGGCGGCATCTAGTAGACATGTAACATAATTCATCGAAAACGCACATTGCCAGAAATAATCTAACAAAAATTCTCTGATATTCTGAGTATGTGTGGGGTCTAGTAAGAACTGAGGATATAGTTCATCGTGATAACGATGAGGTTATATAATCATACGATGTCATCAACAACAATAAGTCATAAACAGAGACCGCAGTCGAGAGACTGTTCCATTAACGAAATAATGTTTTTTATACACTTGTTTCACTATAATTATGAAGGTCATACACGCTACGGTTGGACAAACTTTACTTATTATGTAACAATAGACAAGAGCAATGGTAAATGTAAATAGAGCACAGACCTTTTAAAATTTATAATGCTTCAAGTATAATAAATGTGATTGATAATTATTTTTTTTACTAATAGATAGCTATGCGTGTTGTGACATACTACAAAGTACAAGCTTTCATTACATATACCCATGAAATATACAAAGAAACAAAATTATGAAATGTCACACGAACATACAAATATTACACTAGCTTATTAATACGAAAATATTGTCAAAAATTTACATACATACGTGAGTTTAACTAATAAGCAGCAAGTGTAAATAATGCAACTGAGAAACGCAAATAATCAAATTTTAGGGCCACTGAGAACTAACTATGGAAGAAAACTTGTATATTTTCATATGCACACAGATAAATTCCCCAAAGACATTAAAGAATCTCAATCAGTAATTACTTTTAAAAATATATTTAAACAACATATAATGAACAGCTTTCTTATATATAATACCAGTAAAATCACCGAAAAATACATAGCTATAAATATACATATGTATATGTTATGCATTTTATAATGGTTTTGTTTTTATTTATAATATTCAAAATGAATAAGAAAAATAATGTAACTAACAAGCTATATCTAGATTGGTACATGCATATGTGTATAAACCCGCTAGCGCTAAGGCCATCTACATATGTTTGGTCATCTAAGCCAATAAATAAATATTATTATTTATGCGGGTACTTGCTGCAGATTTCATTATAAATCTATACATATAAATAAAATTGGAGTGTCTGTTTGTAATATTGAAATAACCGTTTTTTACTACATGCATGTGAATATAAATACGGTACATACACCAAAATAACATTTTTTACAATTTTTGTCTGCCTGTCTGTCTGTCGGTCTGTTTGTTCCGGCTAATCACTGAAATGACTGGACCGATTTTGACGGGACTTTTTTTGGCAGGTAGCTGATGTAATAAGGTGTAACTTAAGCTACTTTTATTTCAGAAAACATATTTTATTTTAGAAAAATAAAGTTAACTTTTACGCGGACGAAGTCGCGGAAACAGCTAGTATATAATATAGGTGTTATTTAATTTTTTCACTTATATTTCATTTTGTATAAGTCAATATTTTTAGTTATCGTGTTTAGTGGAATTATTTGTAATTCTCAATGGGAATAAATATCTAAAACCTTTATTGGAGGCTACATACTTAAATATCATTCATGGTAGAAGCATGAGGGTTAAATATAAAAAAAAATTAAAAGAATATTTATTAGCCATCTTACTGTAAAAATATTTACATGCATATATGAATTACTTAATTGGTTTTTTCACTTTGCTTTTTCCATTTCTCTAATGTTATCTTCACTTTCTTTTAAATTCTTTTCTAATTACTGATTGATTTTTCCGAAATCACTGGTCTATATTGTTAACTGTGTATCTCGATTTTAAGAAGAAGAAGAGTCATCACATTTCTTTTCACCACTCACTGATTCACAAGTTTTTGTTCCGAGTAGATAGAGATTAGATATGACGAGTACGCAGCGCAAATTGTTCCATTTGTGAATCAGTTAATTCAATGTTCTTACTTATTTCGTCCATTTTGATTACCATATATTTGAAACCTTCTTCTAACTTCACATCCATAGATTTAGTCATAATAGTAGGTAATAAGATATTTCTTTGTGATAATTAGAAAATGAATATAGATATAGTAGAATTTTATTTTTTAATGCACAGTCAGCAATTTACAGCATTACACACAGCACAGATCAGTGTAGCTTCTGCAACTTTTAGACTATAGCTCACTCACTGTCAATTTATGTCAAATATTTATGTTAGCTCACATAGATACTCTCATTTCTAATAATAATAATATTGACAGGCAAATTTACAGAAGTCATTTTCACAAAGTATTTCGTTCGTATTAAATACGCAGCACACATTTCACAGAATTTACCACTTTTTACACATCTAAAATAGGTCGAGTCTGTAGAGGAGATACTACTTTCCTGCTGTGACCATTAAGTAAAAATTTAAATGTGTCAATTGTATGAGTACAATAACATTTTAACTTAGTGCAAAATAAGTTAAAATGCAATGGCATTATCAATAAATAGACAACCCTAAAAAACAGGTTACGAAAGACACAATACGACCTAAAAAGCTATGAACCTTAACAAATATAATATTGCCAACAAACTATATAGGTTTTTAATTTTACTTTGTGTATATTTTAATGTAATAACTGTATGTTGTTGTTGTTGTATATATGCATATAGCTTGTTTAAGATGTATGTGGTATTATTCTTAATGTTACACTTTTAAGCTGTTTAAAATAAAGAAATGTATATAAAGTAGTATGTGTATCTATGCCTATGCGAGTTTGATGTGTATGTACCCATTTCTTAACAATTTTTATTAGAATTTCTTTATGTTTAGAAACAATATACAAAACATAGAACCTAGGTATAAAAAGGATTTTGACTCCTTGTTGACACCAGCATTTTTATTTATTACTAGTTGTTCCCGCGACTTTGTCCGTGTGGAATTTAACTTTATTTTTCTAAAATAAAATTAGCCTAAGTTACTTCTTATTACATCAGCTACGTGCCAATAAAAGTCCCGTCAAAATCGGTCCAGCCATTTCATAGATTAGTCGGAAAAAACAGGCAGACAGACAAAAATTGTAAAAAATGTTATTTTGGTGTACGTATTTATATTCATATGCATGTACTTAGTAAAAAACGGTTATAAACAGACACTCCAGTTTTATTTATATGTATAGATAAAAGTGCTGGTATGAACAAGCTGCTAATTCAGTCATCCCCGAAACATATTAGTCAGATAATATGATACGTTTATTGGTATAAACGTATAAACACTAACGGATATGAGAAATCAATATCACTAATACTATTACATCAAAATGTATTAATCACTAGTGTGATGTACTTCATTGCTAGAAATGTCAGGTCGTCTTACTCAAGGACACTCTGAAAACTATAAATTGTTGATTCCGGGTAAATCATGAAGGGTAAAGTGAAAAGTCACTAGTGCCCAGCTATAGCATAGGTACATGCATTTTTCAGGCGAAATCATAATTTCATCATGAAAGCCTAAAAAAATCTAATCTAATAGCATATAAAAAGAAATCTAGACCTACATGTACTAGTAGAGAGATTCACTATTAAAATTTAATTAAAACTGTGAGCGTTTGAATTCTAATATTGAATTTCTCTCTTACTCGTGCAATTAGATCTACATTTCTTTCGCCGATTCGGTCTTGATAGTTGACATTTGCATATACATACATATCTCGCAACAGATCGTGTTGAACTTTTCGTTTATTAAAAGTCACGAGTTCACGTGAGCGTACTTAGGTATAACTATCTAGTTAGTCCCACATTACACTAAAAGAGCGTCATATACTACTTTGATTTATAGAGCTCAAAGGCCATGAGTTCGAATCTGACACAAATATTATTGCTATTCAATTTTTTATTTATAAGAAACTTTGTAGTGATAGAAAGTCTGATCAAAGCAAATTAACCCGATATATAATATTTTGGTTTTGTGTAGTATTGCATATTCAAATATTGTTCATTGACGTGAGCATATCAAGTGTTACACTCACCATAACGTCGACAAATGATAATGCCTCTAATTATAATGTATAAGTTGTAGATTATGCTCATGCACTAGCCGTGGTCAGTTCGTGACCACGGCTAGTGCAACCTAGTGGAAACGTCGAGAGAGATAAATACCTTTATTTGCCATAAAATTATTCGTGTTATAACCCGGTTAATAATTTAAATAATGTATATTAAACACGAAAGTATATTAATGTATATTAAAATAAAATGTAGATATCAATGAGTAGATGTTACCTGCGAATTAGTCTGCTTGAAAATGCCCCTTTTTTTAGATAAAAATTAGAATATGTACTCTTGCTGATACAATGTATCATATCAAATTTCCGTAATATTCCTTCAACAGTTTAAGCGCGAAAACGTTGTTACCTTGTTACGACTAAATGGCTACACAAAAGCACAGACAGATACCCTTTTGACTTTGTAATATCAAAATAATCCTTGTCATAATAGAAAGTATGACGTTATCATACTCGTATAATAAGCATATATTGTGCATAGAATTATTACATTTAAAAAAAGACTCTCTTCACAAAATATAGGAGACTGAAAAAACAGACCACGTTCTACTTCATGTGAGCATTGACCTGCTATAATTTACAACTGGCTGAAAAGAAAATTGGAACAATTATTCCAGCTAAAAATTTGAACTATTTATATACCAAATAAATTATATTATCACGTATGTTTATGATTTTATTTATGCTTTAAAAGATTTTCCCAGACTTCAAATAGAATCTTCTGATAGCGGTTATACATCTGAGTGTATAGCTATACGCTCAAAAACTATACAGATTTTTTTCAACATTTCCACACAGATTTTGGTAACTGTATAGTTTACCGTGTTCGTGCTATTTTGGAACAACTTCTTAAATTAGATTCCATTACTGTTTATCTTATCCAAAATAAATAAAAGATATTTTTTACGCGAGTCAAAACCACTGTGGCCAACCATGCAAGTAGGGCGTCGGGTCGTCGCAATTTATATATAGGAAGTGAAAAAATGTTGAAGTATGAAAATAGCATTCCATTCTTTACAGATTCATGATCTTAAATCCTATTCTTGCTATTGTCTATTGATATAATTGTATTTATATCTTTATTGACGTAAATATACTGAGTAAACGATATAATAATACATTAATGGAGTATTATAAAAATTATAATGCTAATACACTTAATATTGGCTGTGAATGATGATGAATAACATTGTCTCATGGTGATGTTAAAATTACTGCAGCATATGGATATATACTTTAAGGGGGTCTTCCTATGTGATGGGTTGAAATAATCGATTTTTTTTTTTTCATAAATTGCTCCCTTAACATGTCTAGAATACGGTAGTAAAGCGATTTTAGAAAATTCGAAGTCGTTTTAAAGATACAGCAGGTAAAAGAAAGAGCGGTTCGGAGCGGTGAGTTGGCAGTTAGAGACCGGGCCTATTGTGTACCGTCGGCTTTATACCTGGCCTCCCTTTTATTAATATATTTGTTTATACAAGTTTAGACACGTTTCTACAGACTTAAACAGAAATTAAGGAATAGGAGAAAAAGGAGCAGGTAAACTTACTGATAAAGTTATCCAAGAAATTACAAAATTCTACGGATTAGCAATTCGACGCCATCCAGATTCGCTTGAAGATATGAGAAAGGAAGTTTGGGCAACGTACTATCACAAATGTTCTTCTGATGAAAACCCTCAGCATCAATTTTGTCCAGAAGGCGAAGACAGTTGGTGTAAATGGCGTAAGGCTGAAGCTAATAATGAACTGGACCAATTTCATCACGATAAACCACCTCTAATTCCGCAAGTCCAAGAAGCTATCAAACCGGTTTTCGAAGATTTATCGAAAGACGAATTATTAATTCGTTGTTTAGGAGCAGAGACACAAAACAATAACGAATCTTTGAATTCTTTGATTTGGACTTTCGCTCCTAAACATCTTCATTCTGGTCCCAAAGTTGTTGAAATTGCTAGCTACTTAGCAGTTATTATCTTTAATGAAGGTTTTCAAGGTATTTTAAAAGTTATGTCGATTATGGGATGCCCTGTTGGTCGTGAAGCCCAAGCGTATGTTGAGAAACGGGATGAAAAGCGAATCTTACGCTCTGAGCGGCGCGTAAGTGATGTCGTTAAACAAGCCAGGATTGACTCAAGAGCTGAACAATCTGCTTTAAAAGAGTTTCACGAGGAAGAGGAAGGAATACTCTATGGACCAGGCATCGCCGATTGAGAGTAAGTTGATATTTTAATAGTTTTTAACGGACTTGAAACTTTAAACGCGTTTTTCTCAAAACTGTGTTTTTCAAACTTTCCTCCATTGTATCTCAGAAACGGCTGGACCGAATTACTTGAAATTTACAGGGCACACTCAATATATGTAAACGCATGGAATGAACTATTATCAATCGAAAATTTTCAAAACTTCGATTTTTTTATAGCAAAAAACAAAAAAAAACGCCTAATTTGCAACTTTTATTTCAAATGTCTATCAAAAATCCAATTTTTTTTATATTCATTTGATTATAGGTCATTCCGTGCTTTTAAGCCTACAAATTAAAACGCCGTTTTTTTTTTTTTTTTCAGATAAGCCGATCAGCCGGAATCGTGGAGGAAGTGGGAGCTCTTTTTTTCGAGGCGGGGGTGTTCAGAGCGCTGTAACTCTAGTTTGACTGAATATTTTTAGCTGAAATTTTATATTTATACTGTCCAAATATGTGTTAATAAATGATAAAAAACTTGAAGCTCTAAATATTTACTGGTCGTAGAAAAAAAATCCTAAAATATCCCTAAAAAACAGGCCGTCACATAGGAAGACCCCCTTAAACCATTTTGGATCACTAGAAAAATTTAATAGATAACTATTATAATTACCTCCAAACTGCGTAAGACTGTCGGCTCTCAGGCGATATTTTGGTATATGTTCTTGTAGCAGACTAACAATTTCTACCTCGGGCACCTCCTCGCTATTGCACACCTCTGTCGGCAAAAGAAACACTACATTAATATAAATAAATTTTATTATTAGGTAAGTACAACAAGAAATATCTTTTAAACTTTCTAAGTACAATCATAGAACCTTGCTATAAATATTCGTTGGAAAGCAACAAGAGTGTAATGTCGTGACTAGTGAACTTGAACGCAATGCAGGTATTTAACTGTATAGTGTATAAACACTGTGTCTACATTCCGTATATAGTAAGAGAGGCGAGACAGCAGACAGAATCAATAGCTTCCTCGCGATCCTTGCCCGACGGCGGGTGACTGCGCCATCTGCAGGGCATGCACCCCGACAATTTTCGTGCTCTACACACTATGAAAACTTACTATCAACATGTCATATGCAGAAATGCCAACCATATAAGGATCCTCGTACAAAGACGAGATATTTGGCCTTCGGTACGTGGACGATTTCGTTTTGTAAAATTTTGTACGAGATTCTGCCCTATGAAAATCAGTCAAAATATGTTGATGGCCTTAACTCGTGGTAACAAAATTAAGTTAATAAACGATATTTTATTCAAATTTTGATTTTAGTACTTAGATACATAAGTGTAAGGTTGTCATGTGTGTGTCTAGTTAATTCTGTATCAATAGTTCACACTTGTAAAATTGTTCATATACGCTTAAACATTTTGTTGTACTTAAATTGTGCAGGATCTAAAAACGTCAGTGACGCAGTCTATAATAATAATTATGTATAATGTTATCAGTAAATTTTGATTTGGATAAAATAATATGCGATGTCGCTAATTATTATAAATATGTGACGTAACTAGTGACGCTGTTTTAGTCGATCATCGACAATTACGTGAGATGTAGATGGAGAACGCAATTAGGGTAGACGTAGTTAATCCTTCTTATAATTATGTATGTATGATGTTTTTAGAAGTCATATCCTCCACTCTATGCAACCAATAAGGCAGCAAGTACATTAAATTGATAATTCAATTACGTAATTACATCAACAGAAAGTTCCACTGAATGAAATAAAAGTTATTATCAAGACTGGAACGATCAATATTGTTGATAAGGATGCGCGAATTTATATTTCAATAGTGGATTACGTGAGCCAAGAGACGTTTAGTCAATAGCATTGTAAGACAATCGGTGGCCAATCAAGAGACAAGAGAAAATAGAAAGATGCGCAAATACTCAAAGCAGTCCTCTACACAATATTATTTTTATATATCCGTTGGACTATTTCCAAATTCATTTTAAATAATTACGTACTTATATTACTGTAATACTATGTAAGTATAATACCAACAGAAATTATATTTGACGAATTACGAAATTACGATATTGTAAGAAAAGTACTCGTAATTTATGAGGTTATATGAATGTAGAGAAAGCAAAGGAGAAATGAATAAAATGCATTTGGCGCCCATATACAAAATATATGCATGCCTACCTCAATGAAAGACGGGAGTCATATGACATGATGTATATAGTATAAATATAGTGATAAATACATTACATGAATTCTATACATGCATAGAAGTAACCTACTCAGTTTAGTGACTTACTATACTTATAAGAAACAATTAGGTTCCCCAAATATTGTTTCGTTGTAATCAATGTAGAGCAGTTTGTAAAATTGTTGTGATTATTTAATATTAATCACAATAATATCTTGTTTTTAATATTGTGAGTTGTATAATTATATTTATTATACTCCGTAACAAAATAGAACAGAAAATGTCAGGTTCACACATTACCTATCCATATTGAGGCATACGATAACAGTAATCAGTTGGGCCGCATGCTGGTTTGCGACCATAGTAGTATAAAAAAACCTAAAGCTATGCTCGTAAAGAAGTCTTCACCGAAACAATTTAAAGTACAAACAAACATGAATTTATTGTTTCCCATTTCCTATATTTCAATCCAAATCTACTAAACCATTATCAATTATTCTCCCAAACATTGTATTTTGGCACTAACAATTACTATAGTACACGTAGTTAACTGATGTGATGACCAATAAGTTCGAGCAGCAGATAAAAACGTGCATATCTGTCACTGACTGGTAGATATATTAGCGACACAGAAATTACTGAAACGGAAGCATAATACGTTCCCTTATTCATTAGAAGTAGCAACTTTTATTAATCTTTCATTCCAAAGTGCAGTTCATATCTATAGGCCATTACAACTTTCTACCAAGTGGAACATTAAGGTGTTTAGCGTTCCCAATCATAAAATATGTAAAGTAACGTTAGTTGTAATTCACCCTCTTTACTCTCTACCCATCTGTGTAGCGACGGTGTATGAATACAATATGTCACCATCTTCATTGCCAGGACGTGGTAAAAAGCGACTACGGAAATACATCACAGATAAATTGGTATGATAAAAACCTAAGTAAACACTTAGAAAAAAATAAGTAGATTATGGTGTAACATAAAGTAAGCTAGATCCTTCTCTTAAGAAAGCCGTCTCAAGCAAATAAACTTTAATGGATTGATAATTATGATTATGACTCTTCACGTATTAATAGTTATGCCCGAGTGATGGTGAACGTTTTGCAGAATCCCATGAACACTCTCAAATCTAAACAAAGCATGCCATATGCGGCCACATGTAAAACCGCAATGAGTATCCCCCACGTAGCTCTGACAGTTATATTGAAACTCTAGAAACATGTCATAACAATACTGTTACAAAAAGTACCAAAAAAACGTATCCAAATAACGATTCTGGCAGCAATTTAACTTAATACCTACAGAAAAAGTTCAAAATCGTGATAGAGAATCTATTTCTCTCCAGATTATAATACTAACGCTAAAGACAAAATCCTATATAATATAATTATCTATACCTTTGAAAATATCGTAAATACTATAGCACTTCGTTATACTAATGTTCGTGTTAAACCTAAGGATATCTCAGAGTTCAAGGTTCCGTATCCCAGTATCATGATAATCCATTGAACCGCTTAGTAGAGAAAACGAAGTAATCTTTAAAATTGTTACTCTCATATTTATAATATTAGTATGGACTACTATGATATTTTTTGATGAATAGCTTTTTATAACCACGCCGGACTTACCATCGTTCCAAGCCAGCAGCAAGTCCTGGCGTTGTTCGCGGAAAGTCTCCCGTCGCCGCGGGCGCGTTCGTTTTTTCTCGTTCATCCTCTCAAATTTTACAATATAAAACTGAACCTTCACCGGTAAACCGCCACAGATAAAAAGTCACATCACAACAAATATATAAACATAACACTTTCACCTAGACCTGTGTACGTGCACAAGCAATGAACTCGTAATAACAAACGGTGTAATGTCAAATGATAAAGGTAGATAAATACTAAACGTCATATATTATAATCGATAAGAAACGGTCTTTGTCAGTGGCGAACATCGCGATCTCTCTCTATGGCGATTATACATTTGACACTAACACAGAGTAAAAGAATGATGTATCGTCCATCTCGCAGTACTCCAAATACTTGGTCGACGTCTTGAAATTATCACATTCTATGCTTTCTACAAAGGAATATTTATATATTTATTTCATAAAGCAGTCTTACATTAGTGAATTTAGCAAAGGCCCAGACGGGATTAGTACACTGATAGTAGGTAAATGTCCGTTTGTGGTTATAGATATAGCTATTCAAATTGCGTCAGATACTTTGCTTTTTTTACTGTAGTTAATGCAAACACTTTATGCTATCGTATTTACGTAACTGATTCATATATACTTTTTAAGATCTACAGATATGTATGCAAAAATGGAACATTTCATAGTAATTTTACTGCTTACATTTAGTATCGATGATCTTAAAATAAAATAAACATGATAGGTACCTACTCCCAGAAGTCAATACCGTATTATAATAAACTAGAAAGTACTATAAAGACAATGTATACATTAGAGTAGGATAATATGATGAGTACATATATGATACTCAATTCATGGCCTACTTAGAAACTTTAACAAAAATATGCACTAGATTAACATTTTTTTACATAACATTAAATTTTTATTCAATTTAAAAGTAACTACTAGTATTATAGAGCGTAGAGGCCTATTTGTTTTTTAAACCTCATAAAAAAAAAATAAACTTAAACCGTAAACCCATAATATTGGCCATGAGTTAGATTCTGACCAACAAAAAAAAAATGAATGTCAGTTTATATTTCTGATTAACTCTCCAGTGACGGAATCAAACTAATACAGCAGATAGAATAAGAGACAAGTAGAGCTCGGCCCCTGCCACATTAGTTTCAAATATTCTTAGCAAAAGGCAACAGTGCATCTCACTACCCTATCCATAGTATAGCAGTCGTGAAAGTATATTTATTTGTAGAAAATTAAATAAAGAAATAACAATATATACAATATTATGTATCTACCAAAACTTTAGTAATGTAATAACAAGAGATTTTTTTTTCTGTAGGTAGATAACCATAATTAGATAATTTTGTTATAAACTAAGTAATCATAGAAGTTATCTGTGTATGCTATTGTCAGATCAAATAAATATTATTAGACCCTTTTTAAAACACAGATTATCAGAGAGTCCTATGAACCACAGATAACGCAGCGGGACATTGATAGTTTTTTTTTTTATTAAAAGCTAATCTAAATATTTAACCAATGTTTGCTCAGATTATCACCTAAACTGTCTATTTATTGAGCGTCGACTAAGAAATTATCACGTACCATAACGTTTGGGCTTTCGTTTTGTCAAACGACTGTAAATAGAAGCAGCACGAGGCCACACGCACTGTTCGCCAGCGGAGATGGTACGGTCGTCGCACTCGTTCGAATAACCAATAAAAATAAGGATGTCGTCAATATGTTGGCATCGCTACCATAGCAGGGTCACCTCCGGGCTTGCCCTGCTATGGAATGCCACCGTTAGATGGCGAATATTGTGACGTAATTATCCGTGACCTTGCACTGACGCGCCGCCAACAATTGGGAATTTTACTAGATTGTAAATTGGAACGTTTGATAATATCTACGTTTTAAGTTACATAACAGTGCAGCGCGTAGAACTTTATTCACACGTAGCATATACACCAATTACTTTGTTCCGGAGATCCAAAGATCTGTTCACAACTTTTAATAGTAAAAATGATTATAATTTCTACACATTACAATCATTTCAAGTCAAGTTACTAATCAGTAATAGTCAATATTAATTCGTTACATAATACCTAAGTCACGACTATAGATTATACCAAATGAATAGTGTTCATAGTTTCTTGTTATGTCAGTCACAAAACCTGCTCCACTTTCGCTTCTGTTTACGTTTCCAACTTGTCTTCTCTTGTTACTATTAAAACAGACGTTAACAAAATCACAATCAGTTGATAAGGAATATATCATAAGGAAACAAAGGTGTTTAAATGTTATTACAAATGAAAAAAATTAATAAGTATGCGAATGTACACAATTTTGATAAGTCACTCAATTTTAGTTCTCCACATACAAAATTAAGATTCATGGACCGTAAAATAAGTGGGTTAGTTAGTAAGAATAGGAACCTAGTAAGTAGTTGATTATGTATGTGTACCCAGAACCACAATTGCAACATTATAGTGTTAAGTACATAATTATTCTATTGTAATATGATAATCGGTGCAGAATTAAAAAGTATTACCACCATTTTATTATATTAAAGTTTACAAGAAAAAAATTGTATGTAAATAGGTATCGGTACATTTATGTAGCAAGCCCGACTAGCATATTCCATAAAATATATAGGATGCAATACCTTTCATTGCTTAGTCTTGTAATTGATGGTTGTTCCAAACTGGACCTTGCCAAATAAATAATCACTATTAATTACATTACATCGTATAAGAATTCAACTTATATAAGAATTTGGTAGTTTGTTTTCTATATACATATAATTGTAGGTAATCTACCAGACATTCATTGATAACAGAATTATGTAATAATGTGTGGTTATTTTCTTAAATCTTAACTAATACCAAAATAAGGACAAGATCAACGAGAGGATATGACAGTAAACATAAAGACAATGAGGCCGTGTGCGTGACGTGCGCGTGGTCAGGGGAGTCTCGCAAACGACTTTTAACCGGCGGACGCGCGGCGGAATACTGCTCGCAACTCGCATGCGCCGCCCGCCCGCCCAGAATAACCACCAACTTCGCGCGCAACCAATCACGTGGCATCACGATAATTTCTCTCCATTCATGAATACTACAATTTTATCTTCTCTATCATCATTGTTCAGGATACATAGTATTTTATGTTACTCCATTAGTTTATTACATATCATCAAAACATAGAGTCACTAAAACATATTTTTTCTCTTTTGATCCTAATTCAGACATTCAATTTATCATACAATTAACAATTGTCGTTCTCAGAATTCAAATATATCTCCTCAAATATTCGTTATATCGTTTTGAAACTTCTTAGTCACATGATTCTCGCACAGAGCTACGAAGACTCATCTCTATTACTTTTTTTATTACGTTATCTAATTTTCTAAATTCTCACAATCTACAAGCATAAGCTATCTTAATATTAATAATTTATGAATCTACTCATATTAACGATATAATCATAGTTTTGTAATAACAAATTATTCTATATCATATTTAAGATATACTTTTATAAAAATGCAACTGACTTTCTTCAATTAATTATCATCCTTGTATTCATTACTCACTTTCATAAAAATTTATGTGCATTATATGCATGGATAGAGAGTCGTATGGATGTCGTTGTAATTAAAATTTATTGTATTACCAAGGTCCTAAAGAGACAATATTTGTTCAGTTTTTACAATATATAATGTTGTGTAGCTGTACATGTGTATTTTTTGGTCAAGGCAAAATATTAATGGGGTAAATGAGGTATGCATCAGAATTTGTGTAGGCCTATACGGTTTTAGTCTACCACTGTACCTTCGGCCTATAAACGTAAATAAATACGTAATCATTACGATTAATTTACTCCTTACGATTAATGCTAACGAAAATTAACAAAGAAATGGTAGCGAAACCCCTCTATTCACTTCTTTCCTTGCTCTTCTATGGATTCGATAAATATTCACTATATAACAAAACCAAAACATAATTCTATTTCTATTCTATTCTAAAAAAAGATAAATCAACATATATCTAGACTACTATTAATGCTAGATAGGGAAAAATAAGTACAATAATGGCCCGCTGTCTATTAAACAAACAGTATGGCCTCGAAAAAGCACTTAAATCCTCGATCTATATTGAGGAATTAAGTGTTTTTCGACCTATCTGTATAGGTATGTCGTTCGGAGAAGTCTGCAATTATATATTATGTATTCTGTGACTACGATAAATGATAATCAACAGTAAACATCTAGTCAATAAGATTTCTCAATTTCCATAAACTATGTATTTTAATTCTTAAATATTCACATCCAATGACTTATAATTGTATATAAGTCATTGGATGTGAATATTTAAGAATACATATGTGAGATAAACAAAGGAGAATCTGATGTCATTATTCTTGAAGATAAGTTTATTAGAATCGCTTGTATGAATAACTACATACTTATTTTATAAAGAGGAAACCAGTAAAGTGCAACCGGACTTGCACACCGAAGGTGCGATGTCTACACAATACATTTACATACGTACATACATTTGTAACCATCAATTGGTTTCTGTGTTTCTCCGTGTATATATATTATATGTAGTATATATTTAAATCAATCCACCACAAGCTCGTCTGAGTTTGGGACTAGATGACGCTGCAAAATTTATTGTTTGTCCATTTCATATACTCTCCTATCACATAAACTTAACAAACACTCTTATTTAATAGGAAATACCCATACGATGAACTAAGCATGTAACCAAATATTACTCATGTTATTAATGAAATAATGTGTATGATCTAAGTACTTTAAATTAGGTATAGAAATCGTACCTACACTTAAAAAAGCTAAGTATCTGTCCTAACACTAACTAATTATCGAGTGATACGCCAATCGCGAATTCTATAACGTAGGATGCGTTATGCGTATCAATAAGTGACGATAATATATAAACATCCTCCATCGTGCGACACCATACATCATATTAAGGATACATTGGGCTAGTGATGTGTGAATTAAGGACACATTGCCTCAGTAGTACTCAGTAACGGTTACTCACACTTTATATCAGTATGGTCTATCAGAATATTGTATACATGTGACCGATATTGCTGATACATAGATTCCGAAATATATTATTACAATATCTGCCCAGAACACCTTGCATGAGTTGAATGAATATCACCTACAACGATATTAGCCCTGCGTACCTTTCAAAGACAGCAAACTACCGTCTTACTTGTAGATCTTCAGATACTAATTACATTGTATGGTATTAAACTGCGTAGTCCTTTTTAGTCTAATGTATATTTAGCACTACCAAATGACTCATTTCAAATAGCATTCTACCAGCACTGTAGATACAAAAACAGACCAGTTCATCTGTCTGCCTGTTTTGTCGATGACGTCAAAAAATATTTCATTCAATACATTGTATAAAATTTGTTTAATATGTATATGAATGAGTATATACTATAATGTTCATAATATTATGAATTAAGTTACTTACTCGAGTGATTTACCTTTAGGCATTTCTCTTTACGTAATGAGTTATGGTTACATGAGAAATGGGGTTTTTTAAGTTACCAAATCAAATTAAATGTTTTTGAAAGACTTCCTATTATGTTACTAGAAACTGATTTGCATAATTCAACATAGTATAGTTGTAATCATAGTCGATATCATTATTTCCTCTTTTATGAATTTGTAAAGTATTACAGGAGAGTGTATCAGATAAGATTAGTGGTCATAATCATAAGTGATATGTAATTATACTGGTAATTATTACTAACCGGTAAGTGTTGCGACGTTTCGAGTTGCGCGCGGTGCTAGCGAGGGCGCGCGAACGGCATCCTGGAGGGCCGCCAGCTTGACGGAGTGCCCTATAAACAAAATAATAATATAAATCAAAGCTGATTCTCTATAGCCCCATTAAGACAGATTGGAACTGGCTTGTTATTTTGTTACATTTATTATACAAGCTACTACCTCTTCCACACAGTTTCATTCATATCTCATTTTTTCAAAGTCCATGTCAACATGAGTCAAATTACAATCTATGTTCAGATCAAATTTCATTAATGTATTAGTTGTGAAAAGACAACTAAATAGATCTTAAGGACATTTCATGTAAAGATAAACTATATATTAAGACAAAGTAGGTAAAAAAGCATAGGAAGTTATAGACGATGTCATGTTTTATACATTAATTGCTACATTAACCATTGAAACCTTTTTTAGGCAACAAAAACACATTTAAAATTATACTTACAGGTCAATTCAGTGCACTTTTCTGTCCAAATATGAATTTTGTAATCTGAAAAGAAAACAAAATGTTTCATCCAACATTGGACATGAAAATATGTAGAATTTTATATGTATTTTATAAACTAAAATATATTTTAGACATCATTTATGAAATAGATATGAAAGTCAAAATTCGTAATACCAGTTGCAATTAGCTGTTACACTACAAGTCTTAATCATTCATATTAATATTATTATAAACTAGCTGTACCCATGACTTTGTCCTTATAGAATTTAACTTTATTTTTCTAAAATAAGTTACTCTTTATTACATCAGCTACCTGCCAATAAAAATCCCGTCAAAATCAGTCCAGTCATTTCAGATATTAGCCGGAACAAACAGAGAGACAGACAAAAATTATAAAAAATGTTATTTTGGTATATTATTATTTATATGTATAGATGGGAAAGCTTGTAAGTATGTATGTTTGTTACTCTTTCACACAAAAACTACTATGCTTCAGAATATTATATATATAATATATATAGGCTATATTTTTTATTGAAATTTATTATCGGTGCAATCACTGTCACTGCTAGTATTACATATAATGGGATGAAACTACACCATTTGGTCTAAATGATACCCAAAAATTACTATTAAAAAAAAGATATATCAAGAAAAAAAGCTCATACAATTATTCAGATGATAGTATATATTCAATATTAGGATACCAAACAGAAATTTATTGTAGTACTTTATGCACTACAATAAATTTCATTTTTCATCAGAATAAATTATCTGAAACTATTAAACTATTTTGGATTTTTATATTAAATAGATGGTGTTCAGAAATGGGTGTAATTACACTGGGTCAGACCCAAAATATTTATAACAAGCTCGATGAATGAGGTTTCTTATGGCAGTATCGCAAATTTGCACATAATTTGAAGATATACTTCAAGACATCATAATTTATTTAGTTATAATTAATTACATAAAGACTCATGTCTTTGAGTAATTATTCACAACAAACAATGTACTGGTTTATTTTATGACAGAAAATTACTTACTTTGTTATAACATTTCTGAAACAATATGACCTTGTCACCAAAATCAAAAATACGTTTGGCCCTCGAGTCTCCAGGCCATAATTTCACTAATTGTGTAAGGTAAAAAACGTATTAGGAAGTTCACATATCAGTTGAGTTGCGTCGCTTATTTTGTCAATAAAAATATTTCACAAATTCGGCACATAAAAAAATATTACAGAGCTTTGAAAAAATTAACTAAATAAATAAGTGAATATAATTTTACTAGTTTTTTTTAAGACAGATTACAGACCATAGGAACAGATGATTTAACCACAGTTTAAAAACATAGACAAGGAGAAGGTTTTTTTAATAGGTTTTAACGGCTCTGAAGGGAAATATTGAGAAACAAATTAATGAACATTTAGGAATCAATTCAAACAGTAACAGTCTTATAGAAAGCAAATATCAACGATCGCTTATAGAACGATATTCAAAAACAATTGTGTCATTAATTGTGTCAATAAACTGAATTAAATAAATTATTTCTAAAGAAGAAAAGTTTACAAGTAATACAAAAAATTGATTTCTTAATTGAGGCGGGCAAATCAAATTAAATCTGCACACAATTGCATATAAATATGTCTTGCTAAAAAAAACTTACTATCTTTCCAATGTTATAAACGCGAAAGTTTGTGTGGATGGTTGGACAAATAAAGCACAGGCTATAGTTTAAAAAAATAATATGTGAATTGGGCGAAATATACTGTCAAATAAGTGTAATGCAAACGAAGTTGAGCAGGTTGGCTAGTTTAATATAACTACAAAAAACAATTTGGTTAAAAAAAATAGAAAGAAAGCATTAGAAATCATACAACATCATATAAAATAAAGGCCTATTTTTGTTTAAAGCCTGACTTCTATTCTATATACTTCAAATACAAAATGGCGGTCACTATTCTTAGTGCTTCATGATGTCGATGAATAATATTTATCGACATCAACAATATTTATCGGTTGGCTTTGAAACCAATTTATTATTATATGTGTTGAAAAATAATGAGAAATTCTGTACAATTCTATTAAATGTAATTATTATAAATTATAGCGCTAAATAATTGACAATGCACTCTTTGTACAAATTCTCTTTTTCCATTTGTAGTAGGTATAATGTATGAAAATTTCAGGTCTTTCGAATTTAATCCTAAATAATAACGGTTATTTAAACAATATTTACCTACTTGTATGAGAACAGGAAATATAAAGTACGTGTGTATCAATAACGTATGAAATAAAATAGCATGTAGTTAATTGATATAAAGTTTTATTTAAATAACTTAAACTCTTACTTCTATGAAAATTAAATAGATAATGTATTGTAAGTAATTAAACAACTACAGCAACATACTCAAACTACGACAGTAAATAAATCCAACATCTTTATTTTTCAACAAAATTATGATTAGGTATGCGGTTTCTAAACATCTAAATCATTATAAAAATAATTTAACTCTTATTTGTTATAACCATTACGTGATTGAGCTTTTACCACGATAATTAACAATTACATTGATCTATCGTCAATAAATATAATGATAATAATCAAAATAAATGTTGACGATAACATCAATATACAAATAGAAAGTGCAATAATTATACCAATGTAACCTGGAATAAAAACAAGGTATTACTTAAATAAAATTGCACCTATGACAAAATTATTATTAAAATATATGTTTTCTATTAAAGAATTTCACAATTATATACAAACCTTCAAATAATAGTATAATCAAAATCAAACTGAACACGCTCATAATAGCGATTAATGGAATCATAAGTAAAATTATAAGAAATAGAAACAATGCCAAAGTAAGTGAGGATGTAAAAAGTGGGTTATCCAGTAAAAACGGTATTACTGCATAAAATACATTTTCAATGTTAATGAAGACTTCGTAGAAACCGGTGCAAAATATCCCTGTGAACAAATCAGATTCTTTAAATTTTTTAATACTAATAGTAGCTAGCACCCAAGTTTATAGAAAACGAACCGAATGTTCCAGACTTCACCAAAGCTGAAGACTGGTCGACATCTAGTCCCAACCTTAATCCACTGGATTATGATTTATGATCAGTTTTAGTTAGGTTTATGCAAATTATAAGATGTACTGTATATTATTTTATAATTTGGAATTCCTAAAGCAATCCACAAGATGGCAGTTAAGAATTTTCCCATGGAAAGAGTGTATGCTTCTACTGACAACTGGCCTCACTGTTTAAAGGACTATATTGCAGCCAATAAATTCCAATAGGCTTTTTATATTTTTAATGTTTAAACTAACATAAACATTACAGTAATAAATGTTACATGCAATGGAAAACATAAATATATTTCCTTGTTACAATATTTATGGCGAAACTAGGTGTACCTAATTAGTAGTATAAAATAACCTCAATATAGTGCATAATACACGTATATATGAAACTGCCTAAAAGTAGATCACAGTACTTACTCCAAGTATATTTTATAGCTACAGGAAACGAGTTCTTTAAATCTATTTCCATATTTTTATATATAGAAGGTATACTCTAGCAAGTATGTATATAGTATGTATCGACTTTCTTTCTACAATAAACACCTAAATACTACTGAGAAAGTTCAGGGATTATAAAGTGGGTAGGAAGTAAGTACTAAATGGTAAAATGTATATGCCTGAACAACAGGCTAACAATCCCCCCTCCCCTCCCTTCATCTTGCCAGTATTACCAAAATTAAATATTGTTGTAATTTTAAACAGAATATTATTTACATTAACAGCGACATTTAATATAATATTTAATTATACACATAATATCTCTGTATAGTTACAACTATGCAGGGTCGGGTCAAAATAATAATATAATATTAATTACAAATTTATTTTTGTCTTCTCTTCTCTCTTCTTATGTCTCTCTTGTCGTCATATATTCGATAATATAAATATCGATAGTAAACTGTTGATATGCATGAAATCCCTAGAATCAATAAATGCTTACCGAACCCTTTTTATGTACCTATTTCGATTTAGAAATATATTCTTATTGTAAACAGATTAAATTAAAATCTGTAATGTTGAAATTATTGACACCAATTCATACATAACTGTAAAGTTATTTAGAATAATTTAACGAGTAGAGCATCTTATTTAGGTAAATTGATAAATAATTTAATATTAAAATATATTTATTTACACTTATACGAACTAAAACGAATCCGTTACTTAAGAATACGTCAATTCTAAGGTAAATGATTCTTTAACCTGTAAATATAATCTGTAATCACATTACTAAATATCAAATAACCTTAGATTGTCTAATCTGTGGCACTGTTTGTGGTATTAGCGGCAACACTCATCTTTTGTTCAAATAAAAAAAAAACATACATAGACAATTAGGCAGTTTCCCGCGTTATTTATTTATTATTTTTTGTTTTAACATCCTATTGAATGCTTATTTCTTAATTAACATTTATGTATATTGTATATTGTTATACTTCGTGAACTATTATTTGTTTTAATTTCTCACTTACAGTGTATTGTGTTTGTTACAAATGAGAAAGTTTATTGCTTTTGAATGTTGTAAAGTGTAAAAGTGAAATCTAAAGTGTATACAAAATTACTGTCTTATATATTTTGTTATTTGTTTTCTAATAGTTTATATTGACTGAAAACATCTAATTAAATTTCGAAACATGGTTGGTATACTTATACAACATATAGTTTATAAACAAATTCTAGTGAATTGGTCTCTGCACGTCATTAAATACAGGTCTACCATGGAATCAAATACTATTAGGTTGTTCGGAAAGTAATTTAGTTTTTTCCTAACTTAGGATTTAATTGTATTTTTTGCACTCAACTTCACACTTAAACCGTATAATTTTAATGTGCTTTGAGAGCTCATATAGCGAGGCTTGTGTGTGAAAAATTCCAATTACTGATACGCAGTAGTTTTTGGTTGGTGCCCTTTTAAATATGAAGAGCCATAAGCAGCATTTTCGACATATCTTACTGTTTTACTAAAAATGCTGTTCAAGCCAGAAAGAAATTGACCGATGTGTGTGAACAGTATGCCAGTGCCAGAACTGGTTAGCTAAATTTCAATCTGGAAATTTTGATGTCGAAGATGCACCACCCTGGGGAAAGCCGGTTGATGCTGATAAAGGCATTGATTGATGCGAACCGGCGAATAACATATAAATATATACATAGATATAAATGAAGCAAATAAGTTTAATACATTTTATTGCTATTACAGCAATTAGAATAATTTCACATCTTTTTACTGTTTGTACGTATTTTAATTAAACAACTATACAATGAAAATAATTTGTAAATTTTGCAGCGGTCTAATTAAAATAATAAAAAATAAAATATTCCTTCAACATCTGTATGCAACTCTAGTTAGAATCTTTTAATAATTCTCTCTACATAACATAAATTTTGATAAATAAATCTCTTTATTTAACAGGTAAACCAGCAGTATGATCCTAATCTGTTACCAGATATGTTACCAATTTATTATACAAGACATTTCCCACAAAAAGTATTCTGCAGATGGCTAGCTTGTGGATGTAGCCCTCATCCACTTTCAAATAGGGAAATGTCGTTTACACTAGCAGATGATGTGTATCTGCGGTATTTGTCTATAAACAATCAGAAAGAATTGCAAGACTTGTTACAGAAAAAATGTCCCCATAAGTTGGATATTGGTGCTGTGTATAATACAAAGTAAGGACTTATTAATGTTATGTATGCAATTCCAATTTTTACATTTAGGTACTGAATAACAGTAAAAACTTTTTTGGATTTACAAAGACTTGTAATTACAATTTTGCTATGTTGTTAATAACATTTAAATACAAATTTACTATATTTGACATTAACTGGTTTAGTCTTGGAATGTTGGGAACTATGCCAACAGATGGTATGAATGAAACAATATCACAGCTTGATAAATGGAATTCATTCAAGATGTTGACTCAGTTGGTGCCTGAAACATGTAGTGTATTGTTACTGATATAATTAATTGATTATGGAGTAGTATTGAGTAATCTGAGTATCAAAAGCTGGTACCATACTTGAATGGGCAGGGAGAGAAATACAAGTGGTGAAGGTGAAGGTGAGTGCAGCCCCTTAATATACACCTGGGTCACAAGTTCCGGGAACTGCTGCAAGTTTCTTTCTCAATGGCGTGGCTCCCCTACACCAATCAATGGAATGCTAAGAAGTTTGTTTCATTATAAAACCATAATTACAGTTATAATATTTTCCTCATTACTTCTATATCTATTTACAATTATACTGCTACATATATAATTATATTCCTCATTAAATTAATATAATAATTTTAATGTATGATTTTTCATCACTGCATATAGAGACTAATTACATATCAGTGTCAATAGCCTAGCTATTAAAGGTAAGTTTTATATAATTATTGATTACAAATATGAAATTAAAAGTGTAGTTGAGCTTTGGTAAAGTATATGAATGTTAGTACATAAGTTATTTATTAATAAAATCTAATAATGTAGGCAGACACAATATGTTCTTGATATAAACTGATACAAGCTATATAGCTTGTACACTACTGCACCCAAATAATGGGATAAAGTCCCATTATTTGGGTGAAGTATGTCATTCTCTTCCACTGCTCTCTATCGGTCGTCATATCTGAGCATACACTTCTTTTATTCATTTAATCTTTCACACAATCCATATTACATATTTAGTACATATTACATAAATCATGGTAATTGTATTTCCAGACCCTCAGTGGGACGTTATGATGCTGTGGTACTTGCTAGAGAACTGGTATTTGATATTGATTTAACTGACTATGATGAAGTCAGAACTTGTTGTCAAGAGGCTAACGTGTGTGAAAAATGCTGGCTCTTTATGGTTATTGCCTGTGAAATCATAGATAAAGCTTTAAAAGGTATATTTTTTGTGTGTAATATTTTAAGTAGTAATAATAACTCCAATTAGTTACAGTAGTCTAAAAAAATATTAGGGTGGGTGCAAAACAAATAAAGCTCACAAAACTTCCAAAATTCATTCACTTAAGTAATCAAGGACTGTTTTCAAAATGAGTTTGAGGTTTACTTTACACTAATATTATAATAGAAAAGCACTAGAATGGCAGTATTCTCCAGAATTCTGAAACCAATGCAAATTTTTAAAAATCTTACACTCATTTGAATCATTGTCAGTGCATAGGATATGAAGAATCTCAACTTTGATTTCAATTAATCTTCTGTTATGATATTCATTTATATACTGTTCTTTATAAAAGATTAAACTTCTGTCTGTAATTAAATAAGAAATATGTAATTAGTATATTTCTAGTGTCTAATCATTATTACAGAGTATAACACAAAGTTGTCGGTGTCTGGGACAGCCCTATGTATGCTTAAATCTTTTCAACTACTAAACGGATATTGAAGCGGTTTTTTAATAGATTGTGATTCTAGAGGAAGGTTTATATGTATAATACATGTGTATTATAGTAATGCATCCGTGCGAAGCCGGGTCGCGAGTTAAAGAATATAAGGAAGCAAAATGTGTAATCTGATTATTGTTTTAGAGGATTTTGGTTTTCAATGCATCTTATGGGTATTTTCTGGAAGACGTGGTATACATTGTTGGGTTTCTGATTATGAAGCAAGAGTATTGGACAGCCCTGGAAGAGGAGCAGTTGCTGACTATCTGTGTCTAATAACAGGTGGAGAGAACCAAAGTAAAAAGGTGCACTTTGGTAGTGAAAATTTACACACAAGTATTAAGTAAGTCACTGATATTACTTTTCTGTCAAGTTGGAAGTTCTTTATTCTAGAATAGCTCATTTATTGTTGCTTATTCCATGAGGATTTTATATCATATTATCATAATCTGTAATATTAGTGCAACTTCTGTTACGAAAATATTTCGAATATGACCAACAGTTACCTTCTGTGATACCTCTTGACATTAAAGTAACCAATAAAGTCAATAATTTTATATATCTGATAGTAACAGTTCATCATAATTCCCAAAAAGTTTTAGGTACTACAATATTTTAGATGTTTATTTTTTAAATTAAAAAAGTATTCATCATACCTGTATTCACAAATAACTATGGAATAAATTGTTGATATATTTGTTTAAAAGTATGTTCTTAATAATATACTTGTTTTGTTTGTAAGTTTGTGGCGAACGCCAGATTCAATAATTAAGATGTCATAATTTCAGACGAGCCCTGACTGTCATTGATAATTACTTCCTACAACTGCTAGAAGAACAAGAATTTTTTTCAACTCCAGAAGGTTTAAGTGGTCTTTTGAAACTAATACCTGATGAAACACTGAAGTCACAAGTAGGAAAAAAGTTGGATAAATTACCACAATCTTCACTCGAGAGGTGGACCTCGTTCATTAGTATTTATGAAGCATATTGTAGAGAAGTTAGTAATTCATAGTATTTTTAAAATCGGATTATTTTAGGCTAATAATTTAAACTATGTACGGGAATTTAATGAACTACTAATATAGTAATGTTTTTGTCTTTCGTTGTTTCGATCGCATCCTGTCTTCTTCAGGACTATTTATAGGACTCGTCCATAATTGCTGTAGCTCTCAATGCCCGCGATGTCAACATAGTAGCAGACTTTTAAGACTCCTGGCTAAAGTTGAAACAATTATGGTGAAAGATAAAAACATAGTAAGTTCATTAATCTTCTGAACCTGTTATAAAGTATTACATCATAGTATTTACATTCAAATACTCATACAATTTTAGTGCCATGTCTTAGTAGTCTGTATTTACTAATACTGCAACATGACAATGATTAACTGTAAATTTTACTTTTAAAATCTTATTTGTACTACCTTATGACTACCTACCATTTGACGACCGGTTACGATTCCTGGCACGGCACAAACATTTGTATTCATGAGTTGATTGTTTGTATCAGTCTGGGTGTTTTCTATGAATAATATGTATGTATTTATGAAAAAAAATCTAGGTATTTGTATCAGTTGTCTAGTACCTATAACACAAGCTTTAGCTATCTTAATTTGGGTCTAGATGGCGTTGTGTGAATTGTCCTGAGATTATTATTATTATTATGGCTACCGGATATTTGTATGGTGACTGTCGTTGAAATAGATAATGAAAGTGCAAAAACTCAACACCGTTCAGCAATATTTGGATGTGAGATGTGTTAACTCGTCACTGGTCTGCAAAACAATAACATTGGATTTTGAAATATTACGTAATATTCATTGTTGTCTAATGAAAATCAAATTGTAAATAATTAATGGAATAATTTGTTTCAGAATGGAAATGCTATGCGCAAATTGAAATATCTGATAGAAGAAATCAAAACACAATACTGCTATCCTAGACTCGATGTGAATGTTACCACAGGGTTTAATCATTTGTTAAAGTCTCCATTCAGTATACATCCTAAAACAGGGAAAGTGTCCATTGTATTTAAGTCTAGTAATATTAAAAATTTCAAGTTGGATGATGTCCCTACAATTTATACATTGTTAGATGATATGTCTCCAAATAGTTCTCTGCATCAAAATAATATGAAAGAGGCAATAAAGAATTTTCAAGAAGTTGTATTTTTGTGTGAGAAAACTGGAGCCATGAGAAGAAGAAATAATGCTAGTAAGTAGAATGGGATGGATGGTACTTTGATATATGTAAAATGCTGCAGGCACATTATGGAAACATGAAAAAATGAACAGCCTGTTTCCAAAGAATCCTTATGCTACTTTTTCTCTTATATATAAAAATATATTTAATCTTGCCATCATCATACTCTGAATGTATGTTTTAAACATGAAGATGTCAAATTAAATTAATCGGTCTAATATATATTATTAATATTTTATCGATTTTAATTTTTTACAATTGTTACAGATACATCTATCGAGTTTTGAAAAATCACAAATGTACGTCTCCAACGCGTATATATTATAAAATAATTTTATAAATACTGTTGTTTTAATTAACTCTACAATAGCATATAATATGGCAGGACCAGTTATATATATATATAGGTTATGCACTGCTTAATACTAGTAGCTGGTACATAATTGCAAAATTTTAATTGAACTACATAATCAGCCCTCTGGTAGGAAGATTGAAAAATAATACTCAGAACAAAAGCAACGATTCATTTAATTTTTTTCTTATAAAAATATTTTATACTCTTACATTAAATGGAATTATTGTGATAATATCAGGTAACAAGTCTTCATAGCTATTGCATTCTAAATATGTTTAATGAAACAAACAGTACACTAGTCAAGTCACTGCTGCTCTGATGGAAAGTTTGCCATCACAAAGGAAAAGTAAATCGCATGTTGACATTGAGTCGTATTGCTAGTGCATGTAATGTGGACCTATTCTCCGCAGTTAGCCTCTCATTTGAGCCGTTGTGCGTGTAATTACTTGTGTTATCAAGAGGTACAATATGTAACGAGTGACCAAGGCGACTCTAAAAAATATTTTAGCTGGGAGAATATTGCTGGTGAAGCCCACTGAAGGGTTTTCATCTCAATGATGAACACTTCAGTTCATTTGCGTGTATTTTTTACCAATAATATGTAGTACATACATAGTACTTAAATATGAATTATGGATGCAAAGTAGGTCAACGTATGAAATATCTAATAATAGGTGATACAGGTGAATTTGGTAAACCTATTTCTTGTCTACAACTAGATTTACATTTAATTATAATGAGATTACATAAAAAAATGCTTTTAAACAAGCAATATTGGCATGTCTGAAAGTTCCTTAAAAGCTAAATAACATTTGCTAAAGCGCCATTTATAACGAATATGGTCTACATATATATGAATATTTCTTTGTGAGTAGCGTATTATGAGTCGTGCAATGCACGACTCATAATACGATTTGCTCTGTAATGTTGTCGATAAAATGTACTATTCCGTAAATATTAAGATCTCACCTCAACATGAAACTTGTAAGTTTATACAAAATAATTAATATTTCTTACTAGAAAAGCAATGCAACTTGTAATATTTATAATCTTATCTATTTAAAACGACCTCATATAGAACAACTCAGTGCCACATTTAGAAAATCTTCAAATCCAATAGTTACAGTGCCGTTCTGTTGAGTGTCACGGACTCGGAATGCTTCAGTAAAGCGTTGTATTTGAACACAGAGCACGATGAATTGGTCAACAGACACCCTGCCGTCTTTTGGATCGCTTCTTTTTGTTAAGAACGATATGAATTCTGGTGTGAACCGGAAACCCATTTGTGACAACGCTGAAATAAATATAATAATATGTAGAACAACAAAGGTCAACGAGAATGAGAGATATACCATATTTTAGTGCATCATATTTCATACTATTATTATAAATGCGAAAGTATTTCGGGATGTTTATTTGTTTGATATCTTTTCGGCTGAACGAATTTTGATGAAATTTGCCCTAAAGATAAATTATATTCCATACATAGGTTTATTTTATCCCAAAAATAGCAGATGTTACATAACGAACTGGAAAGAGTTTGAAAGTAGCGTTACGTTTTAAAAACATAAACTTCGCTAACTCCATGTAGTGATTTGTTTTGCGGATTAATTCAATGCAAATATCAATTTAAACAAAATGCACCTTAAATGTAAAAAAAATATAATATCAATAAGAGTTTCGCAGGTAAAAATTATTACAATCTCCATTTTTTCCTAGACCTAGAAGAAATTTTCGAAATGTACTCATCTTCAAAGACAATGATCTACCAGAATTAATACATTGCGTACTAATTATATTAAAAATATCTTATATATAAAATTCTCGTGTCACAATTTTCGTTCCCATACTCCTCTGAAACGGCTTGACCGATTCTCATGAAATTTTGTGAGCGTATTGAGTAGGTCTGAGAATCGGCCAACATCTATTTTTCATCCCCCTAAATGCCCTAACATTTAGAGGGATGTAATGTAGTCTACCCCAATTTTTTTTTTATTTAAGGCAAAAACGTTTGCCGGGACAGCTAGTATATATATATATATATATACCTTTGGTAAGTTCATGTTCTTCAATATGACCAGACTGATCGAGGTCATATGTTTTAAATACTGTAAGCCACTGATTTACATATGTATACAGTTTGTCAAATTCTTCCACGTTTATGGTACCCGTACGATCTTTATCAAACATACCTGAAATTTTACCAAATAGTCAAAGTAAATACGTAGCAAGGTTATCCCTAACATCACAGTCCAGCTTAGTCTAGACTTCTAACCCATTTCTTAAGTAATAACATTTAAGATTTCAATAAAAGAAAGATAAATCACAATTTATTATAATATTTACAGCTATAAGGATATATTGTTTGTCGACCACGGTGGTCTAGTGGTTTAGCATGCCGCCTTACTTCCGAATGTCGGGGGTTCGATTCCCACCCACTTGTTTAAAAGAACAGCAGGCTGTTGCTCGTATTTTAAACTCCTTAGCAAAATGAAATGATATAAATTTGACTTGCCTGCCTGTGGCATCGTAGCTCCTAAATCAATGGACCATATATTAAGAGTTGTTTTCTGTTTGAAAGCTAACTTGATCTAGTTCCTAGCTATGAATTTTCATAAAATGTGTAAAATTAAATATTGTTAAACTTTAGTACGAAAACAGGACACAGGTACCTACTATTACCGGACATATAATCATAAAAATTAATACGAAGTTAGACTTTAACACCTCAATTTCTTAGCGTTTTGATAACACCATGTTTTGGTTCTTTTATAATATTGCTATTCTCATAGATCAGAATTCTACTCACCAATCATCAAGTTACAAGCAGTATCTGAAAAAGATTGCCCTTGTGCATTCACTAAAGCGCCTTTTAGTTCAGGAGCAGTAATAAACCCAGATTGATCTTTGTCAACAGCTCGAAACCACTGCTGCACTTGGGGAGATACTCCTCCTCCCACTGGCACGTTGGGATATGGCCCATGACCCATTTCCAATTGGCCAGTTGGTGGTTGCCCGCCGTACTGTGGTTGGCCATAACCAGGCTGGAAGAACATACATTTAAATTATGATACAGTTACTGGTTAAGACTTAGGCTAGCTATATGCTTCACCCGTTGTAGATTTCTTTTATAAGTTGCGTTTCATTTGAGATGAGCATGGCATATTGAGATGTGATATAGCAGTAAACAAACTGTATCCTCTAATATGTCCGTGATTAAAGGAATTTAATCAGAGGCAATAATTCATTGTAACAGCGATGGTATAAGTAATTATTATTATTTAGTCAATACTTTTGTTATTGAATCAAAGATGATTGATTTTTTTTCAATGTGAATAATAGCTATTTGCAACTTACAGTTTTGTGATAATATTTAAATTATACATGGGAATAAAATTGCAGATACAGCTAGTTAAACATAAGGAACAAGGTGCAGTAACGGTAAAGGTAGTGTACAGTATGCCGTTAATTAAAAAATAATATTACCGTTATATTCTTAATGATAACTTTATTCAATAAAGTTTAAATAGTTACGTATATATACATTGTATAAACATTATAAAACCGTATTTTTAGTACCTTCACATCATGCAAAATATGCTTAAATTATGTAATACAAGACAAGACACATTGGATTACACGTACCTACATATCTATTTAGAGATCTGACGACTGTAACCGTGTTACATACATCAAATTAATCTACCCATGAAATTGAATGATATATTCTAAATAGCTGCCATGTTAAAGAAAGGTAAGTATCTAAATTTATAAATTAAATAGGGCAATAGTTCTTTGGATGGTACTGTTAACACACTATGGACTTGTAGCATATCAATGGGTTAAAATAGTGGCTTTATTTAAATGACATTGTAGAAATAGTGTCAATATATGATATCAAACTTTTCTGTTTAGTTACTGAAACTTTTGTATCGATAATTTGTTTACATAGATTTTTTCTTTACATAGAACGTCTAATATTATTTTATTAATATAGGTATACAATATAATATCATGAACTGGAGATATTAACACATTTATACCCAGAGACTATACTAGGTTAGAAGCTACTATGTTTAACAGTAATTTTTTCGAATTACAAATTTTATTGTATTTTAGAGCTGGTGATGCTACGTCTCGATAGATACAACATTCGCCTCATACAATAGGTAAATAAACATCGAATTCATATTTTAAATAATGAATACAGAGATTTTTTTAAATAAATTGTAAACATAAAATGTTGTTGCTGATGATATGACGTAACAAATGAAATATAAAGAGAAGATAATTTTAAATGTCAAATTAGGTATCTGAGTTTTTTATTTGTGCCCACCATTCTCTAATCTCACTCCATATATGTACTCACAGAAATATACTACTTATATTATTATTGTTCACAATAACAGTTAGTTCACATAATTAGTGTCTAGAAAATATTTTATAACTATAGGTGTATAGGTGTTCAGAGTAAAAATCATCACTACACCAGCTAATAAATTAATTAGATACATCCCGAGTAAGATAAATTGTGCACAAAAAATATAAATTATTGTAACATGAACAATATTATCATATGCAATAAATAGTTTACGGTAGGTCCAAGTATAAGATTGATAGATAACTAAGGTTGATTTATTAATTACGAAGCTCACAGAAAACAATGTCATCTAGATTACAATTATAGGATACTGCCATCAACACCATTACATTTATAGACATTAAAATGTAAACTAACTTGTTCTCATTCTATCATTGTGTACATGTTTAAGTAGCTAACACTTATTCTAGACAGTAATATTAAGCACTACATTAGTACAAATACATTTTAATATTGAGTCTATAAATTATTGTTCAGTTTTACATTTCGTTCCTTAAGAATTATTTATTTATTTAAATTACAATCCTGTTTAATTTTTCATTTATAATTTTCTAAGGAAAATAAAGTGAAAATATTTAGTGGATAATACTAATTACATACAAAACAGTTTTATAAACATCAAAATCTCAAAGTACCAGACACTACATTTTTATACTCATATAGATCAAATTGAATAAAGATGAAAGAAATGCTTGCATACAAATCATCCCTTATAAATAGTGTTTTTTACATATATGAAAATTACAGTATACATACACTTAAATGACATTCAGTCTTTTGCATCAAACCAATACTGGCAAGTTTGTTCTATTTTGTACTAAGCAAACAAGTAGGTCTACAGATGCCTAATGACAATGCTTTTTCACTAAATACACACCTAAATAAAATCACTTATCCTGGTAATTTATGTCTAAATAAATATAAATACAATAATGTACAATACATATTAGTATCTTTTAAATAATCTATTCATAGAATCTCCATTATACAGTTTTTAGAAGAAAAAATTGTAACTTAGTGAAAATGCATAGTAAAAATCTTTATATCACTATCAGAAATATTTTTTTAAATTAACCCTACATTTTACCACTGTGACTAGAAAAATAAGTAGCTGGTGTTACAGATGTATTTACACATATTTGAGTAGACGGTTTAAATGAGGAAGGAAGAAGTTTATGTCCTTCTGGCACTGGAGAATAACTTCGGCAAACAGGGTCAAAATGCATTTGATCACTCTTATCTGTAGGCACACCATCAAAGCTTGTTTGTTGAGCTGAATCCCCTGTTCCACTATCTTTGCATGATGAATGCTCAGATAAATTGTCTGAGAACATTTGGGGCGATTCACTATCACTATGCACAACTTGAGTCATTTTTATATTTTCGGTGGGAAATGATCGCACAGCACTAGCCGTGCGTCTTCTTGTGTGGTATATTATAACCACCCAAATTATAGAAGTTCCAACTGCACAACAAACCACTGTTATAATAATAATTCCAGTCATATCTTCCTCATTCACCATAATAGCAACTGGGGGTAACACTCTCAACTCTGTCATATCTTTTTTTGTTCCCAACTCATTAGTAATTTCACATTCGTATCGGCCAGCATCACTTGATTCTGCCCCTATAATAATCAAGAGCTGATCATCTGCTGTCAGATAATGTCGATCTTTTGGAGTTATTGGAGAACCATCTTTTAACCATTTCAATACTGGTTTTGGTGAACCAGATATCATGCATTGTAATACTACAGAATCTCCACTTGTCACTTCTTTGTTCTCCATAACTCTCACAAAAGATGGTTCTTGCAATACTGACAATGTGGCATTAGCTATTATGGTACCAGCAGGATTCTTAGCCGCACAACTGTAAACACCCATATCTGAAGTTTTTGCATTTACTATAAAAAATAGATGGTCAGTTGGCATAACATTCATACGCCTCTCTCTTGCTGCAGGGAAATCATTACCACCATCTTTTTTCCAAGATATTTCAGGAGTTGGATCACCTGTAGCAGCACAGTTTAATGTCACAGTCTCGCCAGTTTTCACAGTAATGTTAGTAGGTGTTTTTAAGAATCGAGGAAAAGTAACTATGTTCAATTTTGCTTTCGAAGAATATGTAGTACCAAAATTATTGCTAACAATGCATTGGTATTTACCAGAATCTGAATGTGTTACATTTGGTATCACAAGCACTGATGTAGCACGCGGCTGACCATTCACAGACATTGTAATATTTTCAAAAACTGTAGGATTACTAATATTACCATTATTCTTTTTCCATAAAAATGTTAAGGTATTAAAAGGATTTGATGTTGCAGAACATACTAAATTGGTGGAATGGCCTCTTATGGCAAGATGTGTTTTGGGATGTTCAACTACTCTTGGTTTTGGAGAATCACCACAACTGTCCTCTTTAAGTTTGGATATTGACACCCCTCTCTCTTCAGTAGGGTAGGCACAAGTTGCGGTAATGTATTTCTGTTCAACCTTCTCCCTTATCCATTTCACTAACCACAGTATGTTACAATCACATAATAACAATGAGCTATTTAAATGGAACTTCTTGAGTTTTGGCATAGAATCAAATGCATGTTGTTGAATTGATGTAATATTGTTCCATCTTAAATCCAATTCCACCAAATTACCTAGTCCTTCAAATGCCCTTGAATTTATAGATTTTATGTGATTAGCAGCCAAACTGAAAGTGATTAAATTATGTAATTTAGAAAATGGTCCTGCCATATCTTCAACTGTCCAGGAAATTTTATTGTTATTTAAATGTAATCGTTGTAAGAGAACCATGTGACTGAAAGCTTCTTGAAGAATTGAAGAGATATTATTGTTACTTAAATTTAGAATTTGTAGATTATTCAGATGTTGAAAAGTACGGCCTTCTATTTCAAGCAAGTAGTTGTGTGACAAATCCAATTCTTTTAAATTCAAACACAGCTCCCAACTGCCAATATCAATAACAGATATTATATTATTTGATAAAGATAATGTCACTAAAGATTCTAGTCCATACATCCACCCTTTAGAAATGCTTTTTATTCTGTTGTGATCCAACTGCAGTTGATTGACAGACTTAAATCCAAAAAAAGCTCCATCCATTATGTTGTCAATATTATTAAACTTCAGCTTAAGAGTGGTTAGATTTGATAATCCTTGGAAAAGCAACCCAGTAATAACATGAAGTCTATTGTGATTGAGTTCCAATATCTTTAGATTTGACTGGTACTTAAAGAGGTGATTAGGAAGGGATTTTATTTCATTTCTGTTCAGTTTCAAACTAACAAGATTTGTCAAATTGTCCAAAGCTCCATCTTCTATTACATTAATATGATTACTGTTTAAATTTAATATTCTCAGAGAACAATTAGCTGGAAAGTGACCTCTGTCTATAGATGTAATATTATTTCTATTGAAACTTATTTCTTGTATTTGATCATGCTGAAGAAAGTTAGGTACGTGTTGTAGTGAGTTTTTATCAAGTTTCAATACTTTCATATCTAACAATTTGTCGAATCCTCTAGTTACATTTTCACTCAATCTATTGTAGCTGAGATCCAATTGTTCCACCCACTTAGGAATTTTTGGCACAGAAGCGAAATTCTTTTTAGAACAATCCACATATTGCTCCAGGCAATCACATTTTTGTGGGCACCCATAACTTTCAGCATTTAGAGTATATCGAAACAATGAGATAATAGTTATAAACAATAACAAATGCGAGTCTCCCATTATCATACTCATTAGCTGCCAGATTCATTGAAGAAAACATAGGATTTGTGTCTTTGTCCTTACATAATTCCAAATAATAACGAAATACATAGAGAGTTCATGTAAATTTTCACTTCACTTAACTTTACTTCATATATATTGAGCATTTTAATAACAAAAACGGTGCTTTTAACAAGAAACAACCGAATTTACAGTAGGTCGCCATTTTATTTTGTAATTTTAGTTTCGGTCAAATAATCAAGTTCCACTCGTTCCGTTCGTATCATTCATTCAATCGTTCACATGCAAAGCGTAACAAAGTTAATTTTTTTTTATTAATCTTTTACGGCTCTGGATAAAAGTCCTTTTTAGCCTAACATAAAGTACAAAAACTTAAAAACAATCACAATTTCTTCACAGTGGTGGAAGTAAATTTATATAGTCTTGAATAGAACAGTTTAGGCAGAGTTGCCATCACAATTATCAAGTAGCTTTTTTTTTTATGTAACTGGATGGTAAAGTGGTAAACAAATTGACATGAGAATTCAAACAGCGCCGAGCCGTCCAATTCCAATCTAAGAGAAATACTAAATATGTAGATATATTTTTTTGTACACACATAGCAGATGTAAAAAGATTGTAAAAAATCGTCTGCATGGGTAGATTCATCTATTTCACTTATTTCAACCAGCAAGCACCCTGCTTGCATAAGCTGTTTCAGTAGTAGGAAGCGAATAGGTAGTGAAATTGCAGGATAAGTAGCATCATGCCCTTATAATGTAATTTCTTAGTACTTTTGACTGGCAAAATATAAGTTGTATCATGTGTCAGACACATAAGGTGATGTCTATAGTGCTGTTTGTGTGTTAATTTAATTTCATTACCGCTTAGTATTAGAGTGGCTGTCAGATTATTTGCCATTCAAATTACATTAAAAGATTATATATATAAAATACCCGGACCAATACAGACACTCATGCTCTTATACACACATGTTTGTATCATGTGAGGAACTGAATCCATGGTCATGGGAAAGGTGGTGTCTTAAACCGCTAGACCACTGAAAATATATGAAGAAAACAAGTTGGATAGAGATTCAATTTTTGAAAATATATTAACAAATATTATCAAGCAATCCTGTTTTTTTTTAAAAATTCTTCCCCACAATAAGCAAGGAGCTAATATTTACCCCATAATGAATACTATGAGGTATACTTCAAATGTATAACCACCAAGAATGTATAACCATCAAGAAAAATAATAAAATTATAAGGATTTTTATTATTGGGTCGTCCGCTGGTCCTAACTGGACCGCTGGGTACGGGCCCCGAGCTTGCGCTCCTTGCCCGGGCATTCTGCTGGGGTGAACCACCCCAGCGTCGTTCTTTTACCGGCCGACCTGCCGGCCGGCCGGAGGGCGGCTGCTTCCCAGCAGCCGCCTGTGGGCGTTGTGTGGCAGGAATCATTATGTCGCTCGCCGAGCCGGCTTAACGCCGCCACGTCACGTGAATGACGTGATCACTCGGTGGAGAGTAGGTCGCGCGGGAGCGCGCGAGTGGCGTCCGGTGGGCGCGCGTGGAGAGGGGCGAGGTCGCGCAGGTGCGCTTCGCGCCCGCTGTCCGCGCGCGAGAACATCGCGCGCGTCAACCGGACGACGAACTGCTCCACCGATGGGACCTTGAGGTCGCGGGCGATCACGTCATTACGGACGTACCGTCCGGCATTTGTGCACAGACGGAGGGCGGCGTTCTGTTGGACCTGCAGTCTCCGCCGCTGTGAGGCCGAGCACAGTGCGTACCATGCGGGGGCGGCATATGTGAGCCGCGAACGAATGTAGGTCTTATAAATGCCTACTTTCGTCCGCAGCTGCAGCCTGGATTGCAAGACCGGTCGCAGCATAGCGCGCGCAGCCTTGGCTTGGGTAACAGCCCGGTCCACCTGCGGCGTCATACGCAGCGACCGGTCGATTTCCACCCCTAGGTAACGCACTGTGCGCTCCCACTGGATGGGCTGGCCTCTCAGTAAGAGGGGCGGCGGGCGTTTGCACCCGGGGCGGGTAAGCAGCGCCACCGTTTTACCCACGTTAACGGTGGTACGCCACTTATCCAGCCACTCGGGGAGCAGGTCCAACAGCCGCTGCATTTTGCGAGCGGCTGCGTAGGCTCGGCGAGACGACGAAAGAAAGGCACTGTCGTCGGCGAAAAGAGCGAGGACGACATCCCTCTCTCCCTCTCGGAGCTCATCCCTCAAGGTGGGGATGTCGTCTGTGTACGTCGCGTAGAGCGCTGGCGAAATGCAGCTGCCCTGCGGGACTCCGGCGGCAATTGGGCGTGTGGTAGAGTCACAGTTCTCGACCGAAACATAGAAGCTCCGGCCCGAGAGGAACGAGTCCACTACTCGCACGTATGCTGACGGCGTGTTGGTGTCGAGCAACTTCGACACCAAACCGTCGTGCCACACACGGTCGAACGCCTTCTCTATATCGAGAAATACGCCGACCGTGTAGTGGCCGCGGTTGTGCTCGACAGCCATATGGTGGAGCACGCGCGTCAGCTGCAAAGTCGTCGAGTGTCCGCCTCTGAAACCGAACTGCTCGTCGCGAGGCGACAGAGTCGGTCTCAGGCGGCGGAGCAGGAGGCGCTCGAACGACTTTGCTACGTGCGAGAGCAGAGTGATGGGCCGGTAGCTTGCCGGCAGGCGCTTGTCCTTGCCGGGTTTCGGGAGGACTATGACTCTACCCAACTTCCAGTTGGTAGGGAAGTGGCCGGTCCGGAGTATGCCGTTGTAGAGCCTCGCTAGACACGCTAGGGCTCTACGGGGCAGCTGTGCGAGCGCTGCGGTGCTGATTCCGTCCGCTCCGGGCGCTTTGCGCTTCGGTAGGCGGGTGACGAGCCGCCTTACCTCGCCGGGCGAGACGAAGTTCACCTCGGTAACGTCCGGCGACGGAGCGGTACGGAATTCACCTACGCGACGTACGACTCGCTCGTGGTGCTCGACGACAGTGCTGGGTGCGTCGGCGGCGATTGGATTGGCCGTGAATTGCCCCTCCAAGTGCTGTGCCAGGATTTCTGCCCGGTCTTGGGCTGCGTAACGACGTCTGCCCGTCTCGTCAAGCAACGGGCAGACGGGGGGTCGTGCATTGGTGAGCTGTCGATTGAGTTTGTGCAGGTCGGTATCGTGTTCGCCGGCCCGGGATATGACACCCTCCCAGGCGGCTCCACGCCAATCCCGCACTCCCTCCGACAGCTCTGCAGCCAGGCAGTTGAGCTCACGCTTGACCCGCGGGCAGCGGGTTCGGGCCCATAGGCGACGGAGGTTCTTTTTCCGGGCGAGTTTTTCGCGCAGATGGTGTGGCAATTCCTCTCGACGGCGAGAAGCCACGTTTATTGTGGTAGTTGCCGCCTCCACTGCGGTGCGAATTCGCTCCGTTATGAGTGTGGAGGCGGCTTCGACACCCGCTGGCGATGATGGTTCGCCGTCGAGGTGTAGATGCTCCAATTCTGCGCGAAAAACACGCCAATCCATCCGCCGCCTCGACGGTCTCGTCGGTGTGGTGGTGATGGAGAGGTCAAGCGTGGCTAGAACTGGGAGGTGCTGTGTGTCTAGATCATACAGCACCTCCAGTAAGACCGGGCAAGGCACAGCCTGCACTAGGGCAATGTCCAGAACGTCTGGGCTATGTGTGGGATTTGAGGGTACGTGTGTTGGGTGCGCTGGGCCCAACACCTCGTACCCGTGGATCTGCGAATCCTGGAGGAGTCTTCGACCTATCGGCGAGCACAGACGGGAACCCCAAGCCGTGTGCTTCGCGTTTAGGTCGCCCATAAGCAGGGTGGGACTCCTCCCATCCAGAACGTTCCGGACATCGGAGGGGCTGAATTCCAGTCCCGGGGGACGGTAAGCTGCCAGGACCTTCAGTTCCGCGCCGTCGACGTTGATGCTGACTCCTATGGAGCGCATGACGCGGAACTCGGGGCGCTCTAACTCCACGTGGACCACGTCCCGACGGACTAGTACCGCCGTACCGCGGTACGCAATGCCCGCCGGTGACGTTTCGTCGCGTCTATACACGTGGTAGTTAGGCACCCTCAACGTCTCCTTTTCTGTGAGCTTCGTTTCACCCAGGAGTATGATGTGCACATCCTGGGTGCGAGCTAGGAGACGGAGGTCCTGGACTTTATCCTTTATTCCCCCGGGGTTCCAGTACACAATGCGCAGGCTAGTACCCGCCATTTGTGTACTGTTGGATTTTGGCCAATCCATTTAATGCCGCCGACTTTGTGTCCGCGCCGGCCGCGAGCGTAGTTAGCAGCTCCGTCAACAGGCTAATAAGCATGTTCAGTGCTCTGTCGACGGGCGCTTGTGTGAAGGGCGCGGGCGCGGCGTGTGCCGAACGCGGCGCGGGGTATGCGGTGTATGTGGGAGGCGCGGGAGGTGCGCGTCTTACGTCCGCCAAAAGCGGCTTGAATGCCACTCTCGGCACATTGTGTGCCGGTGGTGCCGCCTGGCGGCGACGTGGCGCTGCACGCGGGCCCCGATTTGGGACGGCATGCATGGGAAGGGAGGGGGGTGCGTTGTACGCAAATATTGGGGTGGGATCAGGTAGGAAGGGGATTGGGGTTGATGCCGTCACGGGCTCATCTCCGCGCCTCTTCTTGCCGCGTCTTCGGCGGCGGCGCTTTTTAGTTACACCGTCGTCGGCGCCTCGTTGCGTCGGTTCGTTAGCCGGCGCCATTAGGTTGGCGCCAGCGGTTTCCTCGACCGTTATTACGGGAGGGGGAGCCTGGGCGACGTATGTACGAGGCGCCGCGGTGGGATTGTTGCGCCGCCGTTGCTGCGCCGTGGGCGCCGTCGACGTCGCAGTGGGGACGGGGGGACGGGGTTTGATTCCCCTCTGCCGGGCCTCTCTTTTATAAACCGGGCACTTCCGGTCGTTGGCGGTGTGTGACTTTGCGCAGTTGGCACAGGTCGGCTTTTGGTCACGCGGCCTGTCGCAGTTCGCCGCCGGGTGCTCCCCACCACAGCGAACGCATTTTACAGGCCGGTGACAATTGGCCGATGCATGGCCGAATGCCTGGCATCTGTGGCATTGTGGCAGCACCGATGCCGGCTTCCACGCCTCAACCACGACGCCCCGCATGTACAGGAGCTCATCCGTCGCGTACAAGCGTGTGAGCTCGTCCCTGTCCATGGGGTCGAGTTGGGCGTGGAAAATGCAGCCGGGGCGGCCGCGACGCGCGGGTATGCCCCGCACTAGCCGCACTCCGAACCCCTTCTCTTGCAGTGCCTCCACAATCTTTTCGTTGGGCGTGTCGGCTGGGAGTCCCCTTATCGCCACCTTGGTGGGCAGTTCGGAGGCCAGACTATAAAAGTACCAACTTATTGTTGGGTCCTTTTCGCTGGCCTCTATTAAATACCTTTGGACGGCACGGAATTCTTCGTCCGTCCTAGGCAGGAATCTGACCCCCGTGCCATAGGGTCTTGCGTTGGGTGCCTCCCCCAGTACGCGCCTGAGCTGGTCGAAGTGGCGCGTCCAGTTAGGGAGGCGTTCTGCCACTATGGGGGGGTATTTGCCTCGCCCTGTGGCGGGTTCTATGCCTGTATCGGCGACCTTGCTCTGTGAGGGCATTTGCGGGGCTGGAGCCGTGGTGGCGGGGGTCGGGGTGGCGGGGCCTGCCACTACTGCCGCAAAGGACGGCGGGGTTCGTCGTCGCGGCGAGGGGACGGGGGGGAGCATCGGCTCGGGCGATTGTGGCACCGGTTCGAGTGCCGCATATGACGTGGCGTCATACTCGCCCCTATCTAGCGTATAGGAGCGAGGTAGCGGCGAGGGCACACGCGAGGGTGCTGGCGAAGGCTCAGGCGAGGTCGCAGGCGACGCATGTACGTCGCCGTAAAAACGCCTGTCTTCCCCTTCCTCCTCGCTCCCGCTATCCGGCGGGGGGGAGGGTGAGCGCGGAGGGGGTGAGGGCTTTCGCCGCACGGTACCCGACTGGGACGGTAGGGGTTGGTAGCCCTTGTCCACGAGCCGGATTCTCGGCGTCGGCGGCGCCTTCACTAGGTCGAGGTCGCGGGGGGGGGACTCCTCTACGTCCCTCCGTTTGTCGCCTCTAGCGGGCGAGGTCGGCGACGGCGGTGCGCGTCTTTTAGACGGGCCGGGTTGTGCGCATCTTTCCCCTCTGCCTGGTTCCCGGTCGGCGGCATCATTGCCGCTTCCCGCGAGGGCAGAGGGGGTGCCCTTGGATGCCGGGCGAGCGTGGAAGGTCCCCAGCTCAGTGGCGGGGACCAGCTTGGTCGGGTTCCTTAAATCCCGACGCACAACAGTTCGGGGAGCTCCCCTGTCAGGAGGTTTCCTGGGGGCTTTGCCCCTTTGCGACATCACGACACGAAAGGGTGATGTACTAGGAAAGGGGACTGGAGGGGTGGAAGAGGGTGGTGTGGGGGCTGGAACCCCACGACGAACCTACCGAAAAGTAGGGAATTCCGCCCTGAAAGGGCAGGAGATCGCACTGTAAGACAGTCGCAAGTGGATTGCAGCAACGAATTTGCGTCAACAAATTCGGTCTACAATCCTAGCGCGTTCTCTCGCTAGACAAAGTACACTTTGTGTAGCTGGATTACGCACTGTATCGCTCTCAACAATTTGCGCAAGTGGGCACCAGTTGCGGGGCTCACTCTGGAGACTCGACGGCGGACCGGAATCTCACAGAGGATCACACGACCAACGGTAAACTCAACAAGCAACAAATTGGAAAGCGACTTAATTATAAGGAGACTAAATGAATATAAAACACAAAAGATACAATACTTTATTGAAATCATGTAGATTGGACCTATGCAATCCAATTATAGAAAACAGCCTCAAATTCAGCACAACTATTATACAAAGGGTATAAAACAATATCCATGATTTGCAAAAACATGAATCACTTAATATTTTGAAGAACATATATACATAACTAATTATTCTGATTTAACACCAATATTGTCCTATTTATTTATAAACTCTTTATTGCACCAATCGAATTAATACATAAGAGAATTAGACAGAAAAGAGATATAGAAGTACAAAAGGCGGTCTTATCGCTAGAAGCAATCTCTTCCAGACAACCTTTAGGTAGAGAAAATATAACAAAAGTGGTAGGTGGCGCATGAATAGAATGGAAGAATATATATATAAAGGTAATAATAGGGATAGGATAATAATACCAATAAATATTAGAAAATAACACACATATATACTATATATAAAATATATACATACATAGATATAAAAATATAAATTTACAATAATTACAAGCAATATATACATACATATATAAATATATAAATACAAGTACAAAACAACAATGTCATATGCAAAGAAACAAGACACATAGCAAGAAGGAATACAGGGATACTATTTATGTTTCTTCTATAATATTCCATGGACATGAGATATGAAGATGGTTGCCGAAATACTGTGATCTATTATTAAATTGTAACAAATTTATATTAGGATAAATATAGAACTAACCCCTGGATATGGATCATGAAATAAACAAATCAAACAAAGATGAGAAAATGGTCTATTTAAAAGTTCATTATTTAAATTATCTATAATACTAATAATTAAAATTAATAAAAAATTAATTTTAATTAAGTTTGACATGAATATAGATGGTGTCATAACACAAACATAGGTTTACTTTCATGTAAAAAATAAATAAAGTTGTAGGTAGGTACGTAGTTGTAGGTAATAAATAGCTAGTTGTCTAGTTGCATAAACAATATCAATAGGATTTGCAAAGTTTGTAAATATCAGTGGACCATTCAGCTAGCACTTTACAATATTGAAGTATTTGTTTGTCACATTTTAAATATTTTATACAAAAACTACTTACATTGTATGCCATTGTTTGGAGTATAAATAGTCCTGCCTGTAAAATAGTAATATAATTGGATAATAAAATATTATAGTGATGTAATTAAATTACTTATACTAGTTATTTTTAACAAAACTAAAATAAATATTTGGTAAGTAAGAACCGGGATATGTGTACCACTTATCTTTTCATTATTTTTATTTAAAAACTAACTTCTCTAACAACAAAATTAATATATAATCTATCATATTTAAAGAAAAACTAGAAACAATGAAATTACTCACAAGCCACGAGAAACTATTGGATATTCTGTCGCTTCCAATGATATAGAATAATGAATTTATAATAAGAACAGTAATTGATAGACAAATATACTTTTTGAAATATACTAATTGGAAATAAAACAAAATTAAAAATGTACATGTACACACAACAAAAGTCAAAAATTTGACATACACTTGGTCATAGAAATGTGTTCTGTGTACTAGATAGAGAAATTGACACTTAATCGAGTATTTATTTTTACGTAATTGGAAGTATACTTGGCATACTTACTATTTATTAATGAATTATAATAACTGAATTTATTAGTAATAATTTACAACGAAGATTCTTATAGTGAATGATAAATTTTGGTAAAACAAATTGCACTGTATAGGTCGAAGAAGTAAGAGTAGTACCTGCCATAAAGTAAAATAAAAAATCAAGGAGTAGAAAAAGACACTCTTATTTTTATTCTTTCTACGGATTATAAAGATTTGGACACATTTCATTTTTTAATCTATTATCACTGAAAGATTCGTTGGCTAGAATGTTGTAGTGACTATTTGCTTATTATATTGTATATATTGTGTTGTTGGATGTGAAGCTGCAAGCCAACATTTGTCAAATATTTTTTTGTTACGTTAAATCCATTATGAAATCCTTGTCAAGTCAGTCAAATGGATTTGTCACGTCATAATAACTAATTAATCACATTTTCGTTTCGAAAGAGCGATAATTCAATTCAAGAGTGAAATTGAATATATATATACAAAGCTTACTTTCTAGACGCACGATTACCAGTATTACTCTATAATTAATTTTCAACCCATACCAAGATTTCACTATCATTTATTTAACTTTTTATTTTGTAACATTATAAATTATATGGGAGGTTGATTTTATTTATAGTAATGGAAACATATGAAAGTGTTTTACTTGTGAAAAATGAGGTGTTTGTGTTCAAAATACCACCGAGGACATCTAACAGAGGATATAGGTAAAGTAAACTTTACAATTATAAACAATACTTCGATTTGATACTTAAAATGTGAAAGGTATTAAAAAGTAGGCGTTTTCAGGGCTGCTGATTGGAATCTACAAGAACCTCAATGGACGGGTCGCATGAGGCTCGTGGCGAAGGGGGAGGAATTAATAATGAAGTTGGAAGATAAGACATCTGGCGAGTTGTTTGCTAAATGTCCTATAGACAAGTACCCTGGAGTGGCCCTGGAAGCCGTGACCGATAGCTCACGGTATTTTGTTGTCAGAATTCAAGATGACAATGGTGGGTATATGATGTTCTATTATTTTCCCTTTGGATTACTTATTTAATTGTGCCACATAATATATTTAATTCTGAAAGAGCTTAAATGTAGCATTTCCATTTAGAAATATTTTTTTAAACTTTACATTAATTATAAATAGTAGTAAATTTGTGAAATTATATTGTCTAATCCTGCTTATATCCCTGTATATGCTCTTTTTAAATTGTGAATGCACCTATTTTTGTGTGGTTTTGAAGACCAGGATCCAAAATCCCATTGCAACACCGTTGTACATGTCTCTTAACATTGTAAGGTGTCAATTGGTGGACAAAATGAAATGGATGTGTAGTTGTACATTGTTTCATACAATGTACAACTACAATGCAGGGCATATAATTCTTCTCATTCCTTTATTATAAAAAAAATTTTAATGTGACAAAGAAACAATGTAATGTTAAAGGGGGTAGCCCCTTAGTTAAACAGTACATTGTTTCTTTTTGTCCATTACATTTTGTCCACCAATTGAGACCTTCATTTGCTAAATAATAATATAAATATAAGCCTATATTTAAGTACAGTATGTATCTTTTTTACATTATAAACTACATCATTATGTAGGCTAATTGCGGAGACTGGAGTCCAACATACATTTTACATTTTACATCATTATGTATCTAAAAACTTATGCATTGACAACCTGTCTGTATGCTACTAATTGGCAAAGGTTTCCTTCAATATTTTCCATTATCCTTAGCTACTCTTCTTCATGCATTACACTATAGCTTTTCATCAACCCATCTTAAATAGTCTTCTTCATTTCCTATTGTGACTTGTTCCTTTCTTGTGAGTTTTAAACCAGTTCATGATGAGTTTTGAACATTTTCTTTCCCCTCTGATTGTATGGTGGACAACTTTCATTTTAACTTTATTGTTATTCTTATGACATTTTTTGTTTTTTTGTATGTTTTTAATAGTTTCTATTTATATTCCATCAGATAAATCTTTCTCCTTGTAATACTCATTTTCTTAGGATTGTGACATGTTTAACTTTATTGATGCGTATTGTTGCGAGTGCCCATGTTTGTCATATATGATTATAAATTGTATAAGTATGAGTATGATTACAAAAGTTTATTTTTGATAGATATTCTAATTACACTGTATTTCATAATTTCGTTTAAATCCAATACTTCAGTATTGATTTTAAACTTAATAGCCAGTATTTTAAATTTAATATTATTAAAAAAAAATTTTTTTCAATTACTAACTATTTTTTTATGAAATGATAATATTTTATGTTTTATTTTTATTTTCCAGGAAGAAGTGCTTATATAGGTTTAGGATTTGGGGACAGATCGGATTCATTTGATCTCAATGTTGCTCTACAAGATCATTTTAAATGGTTGCGGAAAGAGCAAGAAGGTGAGCAGACTCCTCAGCAGCAGCTTGATCTGGGTTTCAAAGAAGGAGAAACAATAAAAATAAACATGAAAATAACTGTAAGTCAATTACACTATTTAAAAAATCATAATATAATGTTATTTATAATCACCCAAAGAAAAATAAGTACTTATGTAATGAAAACCTACTTTTATTAACATATTGTGTCTAAGAAATGGATGTGGAACTATATTGCCAACAATGGTTATTTAATCAGACTATTACATAGTCCTAGTTGTGTCTAAAGTGGAAACATTGATTACAAAATGTAATGCCTTTGTTCTTTACTGTATAATTGCTCCCTGCCACATTGCATTCCAATATACCATACAGAGCAAATTATGACCAATTTGCTCACTGATGAAGTCATGTAGTTATTAATTTTAAGGTACAATGGAACTGGAATGTGTTTTTAGTTTGTACAAAAACCCCTAAATATCAAAGAAATAAAAATATATCATCTTATTTTATTATAGAAGAAGGATGGAAGTGAAGGTAACAAGACGCGTCGAGGTGGAGGCATAGGTGGAGGAGGAGGACTGTTGCCGCCACCACCAGGCGGATCCCGCCTTCCTCCGCCACCATCGCCGCAGCATGCACCTTCACCATCTGCTCCCATGGTCCCTGGAACGGCTAATTCGGATTGGGGTGATTTCAATTCCGCAAGGTGAGGAAATAAGTCGATTTAAATGATTTTATTTAGAATTGTAGTGTATAAAACAGTTATTTAAAGTCTAAAGAAAAGAAATAATATTTTAATAGATAATCATGAAATAAATGTATGATAAAGAAGGAAAAAGTTAGATTGCAGTAGAAAATATAAACAGAACGCTAAGATGGAATCAGAGGATAAGAGAACTTTAGGCAATATTTAGAGGAAGTGATTTTTGGAGATGAATACCTGATAATAGAAAGTAGAAGTATTGCATACTGTACTTTAGTCCCGAACGGGCTTATAAGAAGCGTCTATTATGTTTTTTATAGATATTGTCGCTGTGGCGACAAATTGGCTTTATTTTTATATGCTAATGATATAATAGAGACACAATTTAAATTTCATATACCATATGGATTTTATTAACGTTTGAAGAAACTATGGCCCATACTTGTATGTAGAAATATAGAAGCATAATAGCAAATTATGCAATAACAAACAATACCTAAATACAGTAAAATAATAATCATGTAGTGTTCTTATTTTTGCTTATTCATATTTAATTATTGCAATCTTGACTGCCGCTAAACACCCAACAATTATGGTAATGGCTACCTAACGCATTATTTGTTTTTTCTATCATCGATGTATATTTTTCTCATTGTCATAATCAACAATATTGAGGTGAATATTTGTTCTAGGAATAATTTACATACAACTCAAAATTTTCACCCTTCTACCCCTACCCCTATCAACCCCTATCTTTTAATAGCGATTTTAATTTATATGGCAAAAAAAGGTTTCCGGTGTCAGCTAGTGTATATATATATATATATATACATATTGAAAGATTTCACGATTTATACAATGTACCAAGGTTATTTCGTAATAATTATGGTTCTATCATATAATAGTTACATTATTCGCCGTAAGCGCCGCTAATAAGGCACTGTTTATCTACATATTGACACAATAAATTTTGATTTGTTCTCAATAGGGAATAGCAATGCGATATTTGGCAAAGGTATAAATGATTTTTACCGATTTATTAACCACACAACTTTGAAAATTATAAATGTGGTAAGAGTAATTGTAACATGGTATCAATATACAACATACATGTAAATTATTTTAAAAAAATCTAGAATGGTTCTTATGGTGAAGTAACCTGGAACCAACACACAAAAAACCATGAAGTAGTTTGCGTAGTTTGCACGCTATGTTAAAAAAACATAGCTGATGGTAAATCATTACAGGCACCCGAAACGTCTGGGGAAGGCCTGGCGTTTTAATAGGGGGTGGGTAGGTAAAGCATCCGGAATTTGGACCACGATGCGAATGCATGTGTCATCTTCAGAATAACGCACGTATTCTGAAGACGGTCCTTGTTCGAGTAGGCCCATTCGTGCTATATAATAACCAAAAGTGGTCCTACTGCGTGTTCTACCACTTACGGCCACTAGAATAGTTATGAATTATCATTTATATTAACAGTAATTTATTGATTTAATTTCAGCACTCCAAACCAACAACAACAACAACAACAGCCTATCACGCCAGCTAATCAACAGAATTGGGTGCAGTTCTGAAAATTATTCTGAAACTGTGCAATTGTGATTTGGTTTCTAATGTCTGGTGTGTGTCAGTGTGTGCACATTACTTACATAGATATACTTAATGTTATACGAGTAGGAACCAACGGCTTGCAATCAGTATCACTAGATATATGATAGTATGATTCACATTAGTTCATTGTGTGAGGCTAGTTGTGTTAAAGTACAGACACCAGATCACAATCACGTTAATGCAATAATATTTATCATCATTGTAACATTTATTGTCTGTATATGTTGTAATACTTATATGATAATTCTATATTATATTTAGACCATAGTTAAACTAGAATATCTTTGGCTCTACTAATTATATTGTAGTTAGAATTATTAGTATTGTTAAAAGCATGTCATAGTTTCTATGTAAATAGTTACTGATATAAAAATAAATGTTTAATAGTTGAGACGTGTACAAATATCGACTTGTTTTGCTTTTAATTACAGTAGATCTGCTTTTACATTCGTGAGTGATGTACAAATTACTAAACTCTTGTTGTAATAAATTTCAACAGATAGGTTTTATAGTTGATTATTTTAGGTTTTAAAACACTTTTTTTCAACTTTGTTGTATTGTTTTAGTGTCGTTTTCTGTATCATACAAACAGAGGCGATTCGTACTTATTTTTTTTTATTTTATGAATAATAGTATTTTTAGTGTTTTTCAATCGTTTTATTTGTTTACTGTTTATACTTTAATTATAATTTAAGAGACTATCTTCATGAATAACAAATGGTAACAATATTTGCTTTTAATCTACATAAGCAAAGTACTTATAACTAGTAGAAAACATTTAATTTGTATTAAATATATATATTAGAAAAAGGTATTAAAGGAAGATATTAAAATAAAGATTTTCTATCAGTCAACCACAATGGACATACATTGCGTGTGTTAAAAAGTAGTATTCGCACAAAGAGTTTCCGAAATTATAATGTTTTTATTTTCTTTCATAATAATTTATTTATTTACGACGAATAGAACAGGCATACCATTAGAGTTCCACTTTACCTCCTATAAATAATAATACCAAGAATTATACTGTAAAAATCATACATATTGAATTATTTGTGCAAATTTATCAGAATTTAAATTACTACACAGGGCAATGGGCGTGGTTCTTTCCTAAAGACTAGGTATTTGAAGTTTCTCAAGAAGGTTTTTTAATAAGTTTTTTTCAGTCTCAAATAATACGTTTAGTACTTGGTACATGGTGTTGCTCTTAGGAGCAACACCATGTACCAAGTAAAGATGTAAAGATTTGATCCTATGAGCGGACAATATGTTTCATGCCTACCAACATTGTAGTACAAATATGCTTATAATATATTTTCGTATAGGTGTAGAAGAGATGTTCGTGGTTGCTATAACCAAGCAATATGATGTCGCAAGAGTATCCGATGAAATAAAGGCAGTCTAAATATATGTATAACATACTTTTTTTTAACTTGCACAGTATATCAATTATATTAACATTCTTTTATGTATTAATATTATACATAAGTAAGTCTATCTAATAGGATTTAAGAACTTCAAGACCATTCTTAAGATGTCCTGACGCAATAGGTACGTTTTTAATACGCACTCATACTTTACTACGAAATGAGTAAAGGCAATCTTTTAAACTCTTTAAATATTATTAGGAAAGCACTTATCCAAGTCTGACGTGGTTTCTATCTTTTAACATTTTCATTTTAGTGCCTACCGATTGATGTGTTACGTCATGCCATGCTCATGGAAAACAACGTGGTAAGTGAAAAAGTGCGCTAGTTTATCATTACGCAAGCGAATAGATCATTGAGCGAGAATTGGGCGAGAATCTTTGAACAAGAATCTAAAAACCGTTCGTTGGGCAGTAGGTCTTCATGATTGTCAAACTAGCGAATGCTTCTGATCGTAAGTGGTAACCGTCACCATGGTACCTCTAATGCTTTGTTATTCCGAGGGACTAAAATATCATCGCTCTATAATCGCTGTTTTCTCTTTCACTCTTTAACTTAATCATATGTAAGCTTTTTTTCGAACTACTCTAATGCTGTTGTGACCTTCATAAGCTTCGCCGGACGATAGGGGGCGAGTGCAGATGTCACTCCAAACCCGTGGAATGACATATGGAGCGGCTGAAGGGCAATTCCGCCTGACCGGCACTGCTAGGGGTTCGATCCTCGGCTCAGACCGTCGTAATTTCGATCCCCGTTTAAATTGGACGGGGTATCAATAAATCCAGGTGCTTAGCAGTTTATGTCGGTGGAATATGTGAGAGAGCGGTACCCACGCAAACGACTGTACAGCAACCTCAATATACCTGGGTAGTGTCCGTCTCTTCGGTTCTACACGTTACTAAATCGGGCCAAGGTCAATCCATATTATCTATAATGTCACTAGACGTACATAGTAACTATATTAAATGTTAAGTCAATTCTGGCGTTACCCTATCTACTCACTTATACCTATACATAAATGGTTTAGTGAAATGTTCGATATTCTAGGTACAATATTAAATCAGGCTTTGATTCTGGCTGCTGGAAATGATCTAATTTTCCCTACTTTTATTTTATTTTATTCGAACTCATTTAATTCAGGTGCATTAAATGAGTTAGAATAAAATAAACACAAACGTTATGACGTCTCTTTACTGATTTGAAAGTAGGTAATTGAAACGTGCTTTATCAATTTAGAGCTCACTTTTTTCTACGCCGATACCATTTGAGAGGTGGGAAGGCAACGTGCGCTAGTTTTTTTTAATTTAAATCATGAGATTGACCAAAATGTGATGGGCCCATTTTATGAAAGGTAATTTTATTTATTTTTATTGAAACTTGATGCACACATACATAAATAAAGGTGCACATGGCGGACTGAACACTTCAAGGCATTGAACCCAGTCAAATTAAGGAAATATTCATGTGGGCGGTACATTATCAAAACTAAAAATTAAAGTGTATAAGTTAAGATAATTTTGAATGTGATTAAATATACATACCTACATGTGCGAACATACTTAAATACATGAAATACCTACATAATATTAATAGGTAGTGCCGTATAAACATTTATCTAATCAATTATTCGTAGATATATTATAGTAAATTATAGTAGGTATGTCATTCAATACCAAGAGGATAGATAAGTACCTACTACTTATGATATTTCTTAAGGATTGAACTACCTACTGATAGTCTAAATTTTTTCTCGTACGGCGTATTAATTAAGGGATTTGATTTCGACTTTTGAAGTTTTTCTAGTATAGGTACTATTAAGTATTATTACTATATAGTAGTATCCACGATAGGTAACAGCACTAACTGACTCCTTTAAAAGCATTAAAGCTTAGAATAAATCTAGTTGTTTTCGAATAAAAAAGTAAGATATACTTTATAAAGATTTGTTCTAATTAATGAGTATAAACTTAAAAGTCACTCCTGTGAAAAATGTAGGTATTATTGTTGTTACTACATAGGTACCCTAAGAAATATTACTTTCATCCCTAAAGCTATACGTAATACGTATACCTGAATATTTTTAGTTCCGTACACAGGAAAACAAAACATTGTATCAGGATACGCCCTGTAAATAAGGTAACAATTCAAGCTTTGTATGCTTGTAGATACCGTGTCTTTGATTTATTTGCAAGAATTATGCGATAAGTCGGAAAAGTAAACATATAGGTACCTCATGTGAATATTATTGTGTATTTATTTCTCCTTGCTACATCGTTACCTGAACTGAGATAAATATTAAAGTTTTATTATTATTATAATCTCAAAAAATGTTAGATTGCAGTTTGCCGCTTATTAAGTGGCAGGTAGGTTAAGGTACCACAAAGATAAAATAAAAACTTTTTCCGATTACATCAGTGGAAAGCAATAATTTTTCATAAAAAGTAGATCTTTTGTTTAGTTTGAAAATATATTATTTCTGAAGTAATTCTGTAGAATAGGTATTAGTTGTATTTTTAATTAATGATAGGGGAAACTTAGCTTATCCAGACCATGATTCATCATTTAAAAATATAATAGAGTATAACAGTTATAATTACAAAAGTTTTATTTTGTTTCACAACAATGAATAAGTTTTTTATGACTAGACTTACAGAATTGTTTTCTTTTAAAAAAACCTATTAAAAGTGAAACAGACATAGTTCCTTTGTAAATGGAATATGACAAATTAAATGTTTCGTAGACTCGTAGCCGTGTAGCGTAATAGCGTAGCCGCTAGATTCAAGAGAAAATTGCATTTCACGTTTCAGCTGATAGTTTCCAAGACCTGGTTTTCAGTAAATAGGCTGCGAGTATAGTAGACTATTCATTTTTATTTGTCTTAAAGTTAAATATATAAATTTCGAAACCAAGTAGGTACCTACTGTCATTACCAGTGCTACTCGTAACTTGTGTGTGTGTATAAATAGTGGAAACTTCACTATTTACAAATAAATATGTAGGTACAAACAAATTCAATGGAATATTTTTGTATTCAAGATTACTACCTAACATGATTTACTCAAAATTTTGAATTTATTGATAAAGTTTTATTCCACTTAGACATCAAGAACTCAAATATAGAACATTTTTCTGAACTTGTTCCTATGTCATTATTAGTTCATTATCACGTCATTATTATTGCAATGCGATGAATCGTGTCACATAAATGGTAATGGTACAGATTGTCCATTATGTTGATTTTCTATATTTATCTTTAAGACCAGTTGTTTCTATTTGACGACATAGGCAGAGAAAACCAAGTATTAAATGACTTCTAATGACTAATGATGATCTTTATAAGAATCTCTCTTTAATATTATTTCCATAAACATTATTACCTTTAAAAACAAATTGCAAATAAACTGAAATTTTAAAACGTACGATTTCACGGAAAGTCTTACGGCTAGGTAGGTACCTATCCGCTTTGCCGACTAGCGGCAAATTAAAATAGGCAGTGCTCGGCTCGCACGACCTACATTTACGTCTACGTTTCATTACTTACTGTACGTTGTTAAAGCTAAAGATTTACTAAAATAACTTTAGTAAGTGCTTACATAACTATGATTAATTGGATATGTTCAGTGGTGTGCTACTACGTATAATACTAAGAATGTTTATATTAAATTAAAAATACCATTCAAACAGCAATTACAGAGAAGTAGAAAGTTTGTTTATAATGATTAATTTTACAGTAAACGAAAAGATAAAAAACAAAACACTAGGTACCTAGATATCTACATTAGTTATTTCAATAGCGGTATTGCTTTCACATACCTATTTATATAAATATTTGTTTGTTCTAATATAGACAAAAATATTATATTGAACACTTTCATAAAATACAGTAGGCGGCCAGTATCATTATCAAGTAAGTGACTTGTAGTTGTAATCGGTACGAGCCCAGTAAAAAATGTAACAATACCTATACAAATATTTATAAGTCGGTATTCGCCTTACACGAAGTGGTAAATTTTGTATTCTCTACAATTTCTTTTATCAACAACTTCTTCAAGGTATTTTAATATATAAGTTCTATTTCTTTTATATTTTTACTAATGCATTTCGTTTCAACATATACAAGTAGTTCAGAAAAACAAAATTAATTCCAATATTGTACTACTACACATTGTTACTGGCAGCTTGACCATTATTCCGTTTTTAAATATTTGCACATTATTTAGATACACATTTTTCTGTCTTTTCTGTGAGCCCTCTTGAGACCAATGTATACCTAACTATTATTTATTCCTTGTTTTTCAAATTGAAATTTTTCAAATTAATTTTATTCATAAAAATTAGGACTGATTTTCTAAATATAAAATCAACACGTATGAAGAGGAATTAAAACACATCAATCAACATCAATTTGTCTTTATTAATTTTACGGTAACTAATCTTTTGTACTACAAGATAAAGATTTACAATAATATGTACAAAATATTTTTATTACGCATATTTATAATGCGCAATGTAATAAGTAGTTTAGATTTCAATAAAAGTTAAAGATTAAAGTAAATAATACAATGAAATTTTAGGCACTGCACGTGTTTCAACATCTTATCACATTCATGGGCTCTATACAACGTACACCACGATTATTATTCAATTATACTAATAAGCGTTTCCATTCTTATATCAATTATTATCGAAGATAATTTGGATTCCATTACACCATGACATGATTACTTTGCATAATTACCTATCACACCAAATCAAACGTATTTTAACATCGTAGAAGCGTATAGGTAGTAAATAATTAATATTTATATAATTCTAAGATATATCTAAATATATCTATTTTTGATATAATTGAAAAATATACGTAAAACGCAGATTTGAGCTCATTTGGTTATAAATTGCCAGTTCCATTTATTACAACATCAACATTCTATATGAATTGTATAGAGTAGGTAGTGTAGGTACACAGCTAAGTATAATGGTCACTATTATTGATATTGCTTACAAAGTATTTAATTTTAAATGGATTTTTAATCATTAAAGCTATAATTGCACATTATCAACATATTCATCATCCATTCTAGAATAATCTAAACACTCAATCTAAATATAATAATGTATATGTAATACGTTAATGAATCATGGAGGAAGATATCTCACAATCATATCGGGAGGACGTAAATTTTAAAAGGAAAGGGCAGAATGTTTACTTTCATTACGTATTTTTATTAAATTCAACAAATATTATAGTATTTAACAATTGATAGACTGCAATAGTAGTATTAAGGCAAGTAGAAAGTACGACTCAGGTACATGTTTTATAACATACTTAGATACTTTTACGTACTTTTTAAACGAAGTTACTTATATATTTAATAGAAATTATTGATTGGGTACAATAATTTAATAAAAAGAATAAGATATGTCACCATTTCAAAAATTCAAAATCTTGCTCGGTCTTATTTTTTTCACAGATAAAAAAAGTAGCTATCCTTTGCTTTTCAATATTTTTTATACGCTTAGTATTTTGATAGGTTCGCCGATTCATCGTTCGATCGTATCGTATGGTATCGTTAGTAATAATATTATTATTACTATCGAACTCTGTTTTTTCATGGATAGGGTTTACCCACTAGGTATTGATTTTTGTTGAATTCCATTGAGAAATTAAATGTTTAGATAATAATGAAATATATTACTGTATATAAAAGAAAATAGTAAGCAATAAAACTGTTAAATAATCATTGCATAAAATAGTTGTATGGATAAAGTAATTAATATTATATATTGTACCTACTTATAATAGGGATTTACATGAGGCCAGAGTCCGATCTCATATTCGACGATTTTATGACTTAGGTATGTATAGAGAAAGGAAGACATTCAAATTTGACACATTGAAGTATAATGGTTTACATACCATAATGTTATGGCTTAGTTAAAACGACATTTTGAGTTATACATAAATACATGTTAACATATATATACATATATTTAGGCATACCTAAATCGTATATAGTATTGTCCTACTTATAAACCGATAGAAGATACTACCGATGGCTTAATAATATTAATCTATACATTCATCACAAAAAATATTTTGTTATTTATGTTTATATCCTATATTTGCTATTTATATATTTACATAGGTACCTGGTACCCATGTAACATAAAAAACTGATGTGTTTACAGGGTCCCCCTTTGTATTAGACTATATTTCAGCGTGCTGTTTCGGGGATTGTATACTTAATACTAATCACTCTCAACATTAATGTATCTTTAACCAGTGACTAGAATATCTAAATACCACTAAGCTAACAATAAAACCTTTATTAAACTTGATATGTACATCTTGTACTAAATACGAAGATAAAAATTGGTTTCAATATTAGATATATTCGTTGATAGAAAAAAGTAACAAGTATAAAAATTTTAAGTAAGCTAATCAGGCAAACAACAAGCGAATCACAATGAGAAGTAGATAATAATAAATTATACAATTTTTTAAAAGTATATTAAAACTAATAGTTTATTTCATTATTAACAACTAATGAGCAGAATGTTATTACATAGAATAACTATGAAAATGGAATATTCATTTAACTGTTAATATTAAATTTTAGACTCCTTGTGCTAGGATGAGAGATTTTAATCGCCATGAGGCGTTCTGAGGCGTCTTGTAGGTCACTCGTAGAGTGTCTACTTCTCTTTAAATTTGACGACCTCTCTGGTTCTAATAACCTTTTTAACTCTGGTTGCGTATCGAGATCTTTGGCACTCCCACTAAGGCTTCTAGTCGCTTCAAATTTCTCGCTGGCTGAACTGGACGGAGTTTGACTCCCATTTTCTGATTCTGCTATTTGTTCGAGTACGCTTGGCCTACGAGGTCGGGGGTCATAATAATCTAGAGTCTGTGTCATGACAGGCGTAAGGTTGGCCATTGGGTCTAAACCCAGTAATAGCATGACTGTAGCAGGATGTTCTATGATATACTGAGTGACACAGTGAAGAAATGGTTCCGTTTGTGTACTTCTATTTGTTTTCGGTCTCTCAGGCGTAAGCGGTCTCTCTTGCTGTAAAAAGGAGGGTAACTTTATTAAACTGTCTAAGGAAACTATTTTATAGAAGATTACTCACTACTGTGATTTTGACAAAGCAGATACAATGACAGTATGAGAGTATCAATAAAGAATCCTTCTGTTGTAACACATTATACAATACAATACGTAATTCGTATAGTATGTTTACATAATATTAGAGCTAGTAAGCTTGCCTGATCCCAACAGAAGACGTCTGGTGGATGGCTACAGCTGCGCGCGAGTTGGTTGGGTGGCGCGTTCCATTGTAAGTTTGGGTTGGAGTGTGCTGCGTGCCAGCCTGCCGGCCCTGTCATTTCTTGTAGAGCTTGGATCGCATTTCGAACCTAAAAACAACAATAACAGTAATAATCCTAAAATGTTTTATATCTTTAACAAAAATAAATAGATTTTAAAAGTTAGAGCTGACATTATCTCTATCCGTACTCAATTTGACAACCTATACTATAGTAGTAGGATCTGGAATATACCGTTATGGCAGATGAGTGGAAGAACGAACAGAGTACCTATCATCACATGGAGTTCGTTGTACCCAATTATACTATTAGAAACCTAAAAAAATAACAAAGTACATAGATTCTACGTATAAAATAGGCAAGAAGTTAACACCGAGATTTAGACTCAATATAAATATATATTCTACATATAATATTAAATTTATCCAGATCTTTAAATTACATACTAACCTATATAGCCACGATATACAATAACAACAGTATCTAATTATTGCTTTGTAATATGTACCGACAATAAATGCGTATATTTGCTATGTGGCAACGTAATCACATTATAATATTTGCCTTGTATCTAAATGATATCACGGCGATAAGAATTTGTTTAGTAGATACGTGACAAATGGGTCAACAGTATTGAGCGAGTATGATATCACTATTTGGCTTGCCTCCATGCTGAGTGCGGCGACGTCATGGTGTAGACTGGAGACTTGTGTGTCCAATCTTTCCACTGATGACCTCGTGTTGTGCACTTCTAGGTTTAGGCCTTCCAATGAATCAGCCCTCGTTATCTTCGGCGTAGCAACTGAGCGCTGCCTCTCTATTCTTTCCCGTAACTCCCGATGAGAAAGGCGCTGTTGGCCGTCCGATCTGAAAATTAATTGTTCTAAATTATTATAACCGTTGTATTAGTCCGCCCACAACTAGTATTGGAGCTTGAATTTAATTAATTCGAATAAACTCGATTAATGGTGTCTGTTTTCAGAAACCGGAGATTTCAAGATTAGAATTAGTGGTGAATTGCCTATATTATATACGTAGGTAAATTTATAGAGAAAACCATTTCCAATAGATATTTACAATAAGTAGATATTATATATATAATTCTTAAAACCTGAATTTAGGATGGCGAGGGCTGTTTGCAGTTGATGTTGGTTTCTTTGGTGATAGAGCATGATCCTCGGCAGCGTTCTCGTCGTCTTCTGATATTGACGGCAGAGTAAGTGAAGGATGACCGTTACCGTCAGACTCCTGTTCTGCTTCATAACCTTCTCTTAGGTTGTAAGTGAGGTCGTGTTGTATATCGTGAATGAACTCTTGTTGATATTCAGGGTACAAACGCAGTACTTCACCCAAACCACCCATATGAATACATTTCAAGTCACAATAGGTTAAAGCCTGTAAACGTAGTAACATAAAATAAAGAATTACGTGATAACTTATTGTGTCTGTGTATGTGAATATAGATATTTGCGATCAGAGTTAGAACTATACGCTACGTAATATAAAATTATTTTTGTTTTGAATAGGCAACTTTTGAATGTTATTTGAAAAGTTTCCAAAGTATAAAACGTCATTGATATTAAATAAATTCTTGCCGCCAGTGGATATTGAAATTACACTTTATTTAATATAAATTATGTAGATAGATAATTGAACGCGGAATATGAATAGCATCAAAATGAGAGATTTTCTTTAGCAGCAATTTGATTTCGTTATTTGACTCGAGCGGTGATTTAATTTCGTTCGAAGGTGGTACTACCTACAGGTAGTAAGGAGATAGGCGGTGGGTCTGATGGTATGCAAAAGACATCACTTTAGCTCTTTATTAGAATTGAAAATCTAATAAAATCGTGCATATGTAGATCAGCAGTATAAAATTGCGAAACTCTTTTGAAAGAAGACATTTAAAATAACAGGATTAAAGATAAATAACTTAAAAAGGTAAATACTTTTAGGTATATTATATACATAACGGATTTTACGAGAGCTTCTTGACTTGCATGCAAATATTGGCGTTCAATTTAGTTCAAGTCGCTCTCGTATAGAAAAGTGAAATACTTTTGTATACTTTGAGCTTAGAATTGTGAAGTATATAATCTTTCTTAATATAAAATTCTTATTAAATACTAATAATCTATGCATCTTTGCATAAACTACTTAGGTATTCTAACTGCATGCCTTAATTCAATACACTAATAGACAGTAAATTGTTTAATAGAATTTTATAGAAAATAAATAGATGTACATATCATAAAAAAAATTGCAGGAGTAGGTATAATATTTTTGGCTTCTAAATATTTACCGCATCCAATTTCTATAAACATATGGAAATACTATAATAAAAATGTCATATTTTTAAAACAAACATTATATGGATTGTATGTCCTATTTTTGCTCCTGATACTCATATCAGTCGAGTATTCATAAGGATAAATAAAAGAAAGCCTATTTATATACCTCAATAGTTACATGTTAGACTGTATTACTGAGAAGTTTATATCAATACTTTCTGTATTATTGAAAAAATTAATTAAACCTAAAGACATTTAATTAAGTTTAATATGTGTATAAAAATTATTAATATATACAATAGACTCCTCAGGCGGTGTAACGTTTAGAGATAGTCGTTAAACACTTGCGAAGTTCATAATACTCGTAGATGCTAATTTATACTACATTCAACCTTTACGCAATAAATTTAAATTACCACAGACATTAATGAAAACAGTAGGTAGGTACCTATCTAATTTAGTACACTTAGTAGCTTGAAATGTCTGGCATTCAAAAGCTTAATAATACCATCTAAATTAATATGTATACCTTCACATCGCTGCTCGATTTAACGACCACATCAGGATTATTAGGTTGGGGCTGCCCCGTCCCATTGTAGGGTTGCAAATGTGTATTCATATCACATCCCACCAAATCTCCTTTCCCTATTTGATTACAATAGTTGAATTAATTCATGCGATTAACACTAGTATTATCAACATTTGTAGAATTCCTCACCTAGAATTGCGACCACCATGTCATTCTGCATCACTTCCATAGAACCGTTGCATATGTAGTAAATATATGTAAGGGCATCTCCCTTATGAACGAGATATTCTCCTGGGGCGCAAAAGTTGTTTCGGATATGCAATGACAGCAACTTCAGACATCCCTGGGACGCAGACTCGAATATCGGAAGTGATAATATCTCCCGATGAAGATGTAAAGATACGTCGCCTCTAAGCTCCTCGGGAAACTCCTTCAATGTCTAAAATAAGTAGACCCATAGTAAACAGATAATAAAATAAGATTTTCGACTGAGTAGGTTCGTCTCGTTTACGACTTCAAAGCGATGAACATTAAATTTCGATCTATAAGCGATCATCCTATATACGAGTATAGAGTTGTTAGACGCTTTTTGTTAAGAGCGCAGAAATGTGGTCTAACTATGCTGTTAACTTTAGTCAAAGTTTATAGCTTTAAAGTGTTTTTGCTTGATAATCGAGTTTCCTAAGCAGCCTCTAGAGAGTTTCTAAGTTTAAATTACAAATTCATTATATAACGTCGCATTTCGTAGTTTCCGCGGAGTTGCTCATTATATTATAAATAAATAAACAAGCATATTATATAAACATATCCTTTGTTTCATTCAAATTCAAATTTTAATTATTACATGCTTACATATTTCAGACATATACTCTCAATAAAAATAGACTTTTTTATTATCATTGAAAATTGAAGACAAATAATTATGTAATTATAAAATGAGGCTTAAAATAGATAATTTCCTAGTTACAGTATTTTAGGTATACATACATAGATTTTTAAAATGAGTTATCCATGTTAAAATGTAGTTACACTATATGTAAGTAGTAAACTTACAATAATATATAACGGTCTTATTTCATCTATAAAAAAGATAGTTTTTTGCTATGATGCGTGGATTACTGGCATTATTAGCATTTCTGGCATTATTGGGAGTAATACTGTAATGTCAAAACTGCCTGTAATATTAAAAGTATTAGAAGATATATTTCCAATTTTACAAGCATTTTTACGTGTATTATAAAGAAATGAAAAGGCCTGTGATACATAGTATTCACAGTCCTTTTCCACAGTTCCACACGCACACTCCTCTTAGTACTTAATTCTTAAAAATATTTTGTAGGCAACGAATTATATGGTGTAGTACTTAAAGCAAATTAAGGAGTAATATAAATTACATTGAATGAAAATCTTCCGTGTTTAGTTTGTAATGTTACAACCACGAGAAAATTTAAGTATACTTATCATTAATAAATAACATGTAGTATTATAATTATAGCACGACGTCAGCTATATAAAATATATTATAGAGATAACATTAGAAATGTTAAGTGTAATTAATATATATATTATTAAGTAAATCATGCTTTTTATATCTGTCTCTCGGTTTACATATATGGGCTTACCTATCCTATAAATAAACCTTTTAAAGCTTTTAATTGTTATTTTATCCGGCTTCGCATCGCGGCGTTCCATTTGTGTAAATTTTTAGCCTCAACCTCAATTTTAGCAAAAACTTTGTTATAGATAATCATATTCTATTGGTACAACTATAGTATAGAATTTTTATGAAAGTATGCAGGTCTAATTTTGCACAAATTTATCATATATGTTTTAAGAAATCTGGTACATTAACCAGTTTTTCAATATCCATGAGATCCCGTATAACTAAAATTCAGTCATTGCTGCGTAAATGCAAATAGATAAAAATATTAATTATACATGCCGATAAAAATTTTCATATGTGTAGCTATCTACACATATGAAAATTTTTATAAATATCTTTCAAAGACTGTTTATTGAACAAAATGTTTTATGATATGTTATATAAGTTTATAAAATAACCTACAACTTACTTATATTAATAGCAGGTATCGAATTTTAATTAGGTCAAGTAAGGTGAGATATCGAACGGCTGATGGACTACACGAGATTGATGCGTATTTTTCCCAAAAAAGAACGTTATGAGAGTTCTATGTTAAACGAATAGTAACTATCTGTTGAATTACACTGTAACTAGTAAACGTATTATCGTTGTGACTGGAGCGAGATTCCTTAGTATAATTGTTTAAAATACAAAAAAATAATTTTAGGAATAGGTACATTTCTCGGAAAAAGCTTACGTAGTAAAACGTACATAAGTAAGCTTGCGTAAGTAATATGTAGTTATAAATGATGTAAAAAAGAGTAGTAAAATAAGATTTATAAATAGAATAATAGGTAAGCTGCTAGCAATAATAAAACCAAATATTAATACGCCCATTAATGCTATTGTTTATTAGGTATACTTACTTCATGGATGTCTATTCCGTGATTAAGAGACCACATGGTTTGAAAGTAATCTTGCATCCGCTGTTTTAGTTCCTTTGGCACTTGGTTTAGGGACAGAAAGTCTTTCAGATCACGCCACTTTGTTTGGTACATGGAACGGCGCGAGTACATCCTCTGAATAATGGCTGTTACATTACCGAATACGACGGCGTGCATCAGTGCTGAAATCAATATTAAAATTAAATAATATATACAATTATAGATGGTGTGTTGAAAGTTTTCACGCAATTAATTATTTTACCCGTTACTTCCCCATTTTTCTTATAATTTTTAGTCTATGTATGTGACATACTTTGTAAAAATTCATTATAATTCCTCCAGCTGTTTTACGTGAAAGCTCAATTGTCATGACTTTACGACTTTATTATTAGAAAAAGATAAACGTAATAAATACTACTTAAATGTAGTTTCCACTCCGTAATATACACAATAAAAATTAAACACTTGACTGGAGATTTTAGCTCAAAACAATACCCATTTCTTTTACAACATACATACATGTCACAACATACATACATATCAAAACATACATGTCACAAAACAGGCTGTGTTAGATAGATACTGTAACGTTTTATATACTTATCACAGTACATATATTTGATTGAACTATTGCATGTTTATTTGACAGGATATGCGTATATACGCTTGTATAAATAGTACCTACACAACGTAAATATTTGTAATGATATTTGGAAAATTTTATGATATATTACAGTTATTTCCTGGAATATACCCGTGTTTCGCAAACTAAAATATTATAAGTACCTACACCATATAACCAATACTAAAGCACAACCTATTATGCCAAGTTGAGCCAATTTTGTAATATTCATTTCCTAAATGGATCCGTCTGTGTATAGTCGCAAACATGATGACGTGACTCTATTTTATTATGCAAAGTAGTACAACTATGTGTATACATATATATCTAATTATGTGACAGTATTATTAGGTATGGAACAGTTTTATATAATATACTAGTCGAATATTCGTCTTCGTACCCAAATAACTCTTTCTTAGTAAACCAAAACATAAATTTTTAATTGAATCTTACGTATAATAGTGACCATGAAACCGACCTATCTTTTTTTCAAAATGGCATACAAAAACATATACACATACAAAAATTTTAACAAAAATTGTATTTGGTAAAGTTCTTCAGTAACAGCTTTTATCGTATTCTTCTATAAAACAGCAATATATCATATTTTTATTATATATAATAATAATAATAACCCTGGATAATTCACACAGCGCTACCTGGGCCAAACTACGTAAAGTTTGTGTTACATATGGCTACGAGACGACTGATACATACATTTTTTTTGTAAAAACATACTTAAAATATAGAAAACACCCAAACCAATACAAACAATCCTATTTATATTAATATATATGTTTATACCGTGTTAGGAATCGAACCCGCAACAATTGGAAGCAACAACAACAATTAGAGATATTCTAAACCGTCTGACCACCGAGGCCGTTAAAATATATATAGATAGACACATGCTACAGTATTATTAAATACTAGCTGTACCCGCGACTTCGTCCGCGTGGAATTTAACATTATTTTTCTAAAATAAAAGTAGCCTAAGTTACTCCTTATTACATCAGCTACCTGCCAAAAAAAGTCCTGTTAAAAAAAGGTTCAGCCATTTCAGAGATTAGCCGAAACAAACAGACAGACAGACAGACAAAAATTGTAAAAAATGTATTTGGTGTATGTACCGTATTTATATTCATATGCATTTAGTAAAAAACAGTTATTTAAATATTACAAACTGACACTCGAATTTTATTTATATGTATAGATGTATAGATTAGTTTTATTTAAATATAGTACTTATGTAAATATATATAATCGCGTACAGGAATGTTACAAATACCTAATAAGTTTTACGAATGTGATACTTAAATCAATGAAGTTTTATTAGTAGTATTTTCCAATCTAGCAACACACTCACAGAATAAGTAAGGATACGTGGTGCCTACAAATAAATAATGCTATTGTAAAACAAAGTTGGACAATGTAGGACGCGTGTCAACAATGTGAAGAAAAACTTTATCAATTTATTTACATCTGTCTGTTTACTGCAGCTTTGCTTACTCGGAATTCGATAATGCCTCTCCATTTAGAAAGTAGGACTATCAGAAAACCCTTTCATAATGGAAACATTTATGAAACCTATATAAAAAACTTAAATTTCTATACTATAATTATTTGTGACTTTATGACAGTGTGGTTAGTTAAGTAGTTTGAGGAAAGCGGATTGTTAGTAACGCGGAATAATGGCTACATCGTTCGCAGTGTACCATATTAGATCGATCTACACGCGGTTCCTCCTGGAAGCCGTCGTGGTTAATTCATTGAGATCCGTAAACTGATCTGAACTTATATTGCCACTGTATACCCTTAGTGCAGGCAGGTGTATCAACTGCATTATTATGGATTACAAAAACATATTTATTTATAGCTTGTAACATTGGAGTATTGATATATAAAAAGCAATTAACTATTATCCTCAAGAGTAGTCAAATACAGAGTGCGTACTATAACTAAAGTTCATACCTCCAATTAGCATAGTTATTATGCTAAAGACCTTCTCTGGTAATGTGTTGGCGGAAACGTTACCAAAGCCCACGCTCGTCAGCGAAGAACATGTGAAATAGAGCGCAGTGACGTACGTCTCACTATGGGATATATTGGGAATTGGCATTTTCAGACGTTCCGCCAAGTTGTTGATCCACCCTGTAGACAAATTGTTATAATTAATTAATTATTCAAACTTCGAAGTTCACAATTATTATTGGACTATTTACTACTAAGTGCTACCAGTCTCTACATTATTATAAGATATTAATTATCATAATATGTACTTGCTGTTACTCGTGACTTCGGCTACACAATCTTTCATCACCTATTTCCCCCTTCAGATTATTTAAGAAAAATATTAGCATATATCTGACCTCGTAGTGCAAACCATAGATTAGTAATCTGATGACTATAATATCTTTGTAAAGAAATAAATAAGACAATTTAAAGATATACATGAATGTAAAAAAAAGTGCTATTGCTTTGCGTTTGATGGTAAATAAATATAAACATAAACGAATAAGTATGCATTTATGTAGGTAAGTACATATAAAAAGTTACGATCTTTTAGCGTAGCACTTAACTTGGTATCGAGATTAACTACCTCTGAAACGAGTTTGAAAAATCGTAATAAAAGCTTTTGTTTTACGAATTTATTTATAACAGAGAATCTTTGTTCCTATCAATCATAACATTGAGGTAGATATTAATAAATTTCAAAATTTGAAACATTGTTAATAGTAATCTTAGGAACAAACCCTTTAGTACTGTGTCACAGTCATATTATTTACAACTCCAAACCTAAAAATAAGGTACAAAAATGCTATATATCATGCCTCTACTTCTGCAACATATTGGTAGCGGTTATAGAACAGAAAAACTAACTCATTAACTAAATTTAATGTTATTTTATTTTAGATATTTTGAGCTGTATAATTTTCATAATACGAGGTTCATAATAAAATTTTGTATAATTTGGAGTTTGAAATATTAATCACACGTTGTCTATATTGCTTCAGCTGAATTCAGATTACAATTTCCCTTGGTCCGGGGTTACGCTCACGGTCAATTTAACATCGAATATTTCACCGGAGACAAGCAATTTTAATAAATTAATGTTTTGTAGTCATTATCGACAGAATTTTAAATTTGTATATATAAAAATACTTATATTTGCTAAAATATGTAATAAAAATTTATAAGTATGTAATAAATAACAAATTAAGATTACACTACTGATAATATTAGACAATTTAATTATACTCCATATTAAAAAATATAACAGGATCATAGGTTTCTTGTATAATATATAAATGCTAACTATAAATTGTATTAATATTGTAGTACAGTGTAGCCGGTCCAAGCAGAGGGCTATTGAGCAAAACTAAGGAAATGCCAAGGCCTTTGTCTGGGTAGGCGTAATACTTTTTACGATCCGGGACTCTCTATAAGTGGGCAAAGGGGCACCACCAATTTGTAAAGAGTGCCTTAGAAATTTCTTTTTAGAAAGACAGATGACAAAGGACACTATCCCTAGCAGTTGTCGAAAACATTTTTCATTAATCATTACAATTAAGGACACCAAAAAAACAAAAAAAAAATTTGAAAAAACTATAACTATCTCCCTTCACGTCTATCTTGGTCTTTCCTTGTATATGTCGGTAAAACTTCTCTGGCTAAGTTAGATGCAATTGTCATGAAGACATTGAAGTTATGGTTTGGACTGACCTCCCTCAACTCTGTTTTCCCTTAACAATAGTTATGGGTAGATTTTAATGAAAGTATCGGAACATTATGAATACCTCACGGTGAATGTTAACATACGACGGGGTAACTGCTCACTACAGCCGAGGTCACAAGTCCCGGGAATTGCTCAGAGTTTCCATCTCTGCCACACGATGGACCTGGCTTCCGCACAGGGAATCCATAAAATACTAAGAAGTTCGTATCATTTCACACATATTCTACTAAGATTTTAACGTAGAGAAAATTATTGAAAGAATAAATGTTTCACGAAAATATGGAAGTATTTCTAAGTGTATTGATTTAGTATTTCATCAAGTCAACATTATATGAGTAATTAAAAATAATGGAAAGTAGTTGACAAGGCATTAAAAAGAGATAGATATGTATCCAATAAAGTTTAATATATAATAGAATCGATGTAGATCACGGAATAATATTCCCATTAAGGTATTGCCTAATTTTTTCAGATATATTCTCAGAAAATAATTTCTCATAATTCACTCAGATAAGATATACAATACCTACATACTAATAGAATAATTATGATTCAGACGTTTCTTCCCGTTGGGTAGGAGGCGAGTTTAATTCAGATTTATTTAGATTTATTAATGGAGTAAAGTAGGGGTGAATTTAAATTTAAGGTATTACATTCAAATAGGAATTCATTAGACAATTTTCACTTACCTAAATCCCAAATTTCGTGCTTGTGATGTTCAATTTCTTTCTCAGCTATTATGAACCAGATGCAGGCTAACCAGTGCGCTACCAGTGTAAATGAAAGCATCAACAGTGTCAATATTAACGCAGAATATTGCGAATAACGATCCATTTTTTGTAACAATCGTGCAAGTCGCAATAACCTCGTCAATTTCACTAAATGAACGTTGCCGTGTGTTGATTCCTGAAACAGAAATCTTAATTCAAATTGCGGTCTACCGATTTAGAGACAACTTTAAATTGCTTGTTAACTTACTGTTGTTTTCCAAGAAGCCAACCAATCGAAAGTGCTCATTTACGTATTAATTAAATAACAACACCGTAAAATTAATTAGTTAGCTTACCGCCCCGCTGTACACGTCCGACGCGTAAAGTAGGTCAAATGGGAGCGCGGCCAGGAGATCCACCACGAACCAGGATCGGATGTAATTAAGAGCTATCGCCTTCGAATCTGATACCACTTCGCCCTTCTTACTTACAAATGTTGTACGAAAATTAAGTAATATATCTAAAATAAGATAATTAATTAGGGTTTTCAACATTTTTTATAAGCGAAACAAATATACAACAAAGGTACAAACCAGTAATGAATAAAGCTTCAACCAGGACATCCATTGTTACACTAATTCTGGGGTGACCTTCGTCTACAAAACTGGCGTTATAAGGAACAACGACCGCCACGTAAAATGTGGCTATGAGAATGAGCCAGTCCCAAAATGTTTTGAAAACTCCATAATGTGATATTATTAATCGTGACCTCTTTATGGCCGACGTTTTGTATTCAGGTAACGGTGGGTCCGAAGAGTGTAATAGATTCTAAAATATGAAAGAAATTATTTTATTCCACGTTATTCATAACATGTATAATTTAAATTTGCAATTATATTGCAAAACAACGGACATTAATCTTAATAACAAATATTTAATTTTGCAAATATATTTGGTTGCAAAAAAAGACAGTCAAGTAGATAGCAATTAACCTATTCCCCATATTATAACTTATGTGATAGTGATGAAGCTTAATGAGTGTTTTGTAAAAGATTACCTTACTAACATTGTTGAGTTTAAGTTTTGTCTTCATTTTATCTGGCTTGTAATGTCCTGAAAGCTGGTAAAGTACTGCCCTCGAACGCCTTCTGCCCATGTTGGCGGGCGAGGGCGCTTCAGGGTCAAGATTGCCATTCGGGTCTGGAAGTAGGCAACTAGATTCAGCGCGGAACCGGGCGCCCAAGAGTGCCGCTGCGGGTACAAATGGGGATAACGCTAGAGTGACCACGCCAGCCGAAGGCCGCACCGCGGCTCCTGCACGTATAAATCACCCTGTTACTATCTTGGCATTGGTACCTTCAATATATACACATATGTATCTAATAGAAAAGAAGAACAAACATGATTCTCTTTATTATTAGGCTGTAGAATGAGATTTCTTAATCACGATAAATGGTATATTGACTTTCTTTTGTTACTTGAGTCATATATATTTGGAGTTAGTCGAAACAAGCAAGTTTCCGAAATAATATTAGATATACTATAATTAAATGTTAATGGTCATTCTAAGCTAAGGTACAATAGAAAATCTTGTTTAATTTAAAAATGTGGAAATAAAGCCAAATCTCGTTAAAATATTCATATTGGTTGAAGGTCTCATTTAATAAATTAAACTTTTCAGTCATTAAATTATACGAGATTTAGCGTTTATGTAAATATCACCAGCTACTTAATGCAATGGGTATGACAGGAGATAGAACTAAGAGTAAATTGTATTATCTACGTTATATATTTTTAAAATTTATTTACTGATACTAATAAATTACATAAAGTATAACGGGACCTTATCCTGTACTGTATGGTAAGATCTTGTTACTCTTTTAAAATAATAAAAAATGGTAGGTATTAACAATTTCAGTTTAGTTATCAAAACCTGAAGTAAATCATTAGGGTATTATTATATTGATAAGTAATCTGAAATGAATGGTGCATCCATTCATTCATTCACAGTGCTAACGAATATGACCAGTAGAATAATCTAATAGTGGTGTAATTATACACAACGTATTCAAACTAAAATGAAGTTGTTCTAATATTACAATTATAAAAAAATAGAGATATAATAGAGGCGATATGAACAAACATAGTAAAGTGAATACAGTAAGAAAGAATATAATTATTTGTAAGAATATTAATATATATATAAATATAAGTAAAAACATATAAAAATCTATAATATATGTGCAATTAGTGTATTATGCATACATTCAGAATTAGTACCGAGAACGTTCATGCCTCTAATTCATCTACAGTTCTAGGTACGTAGGTATACCTAAAACTGTAATTTAATTCATGCATTAGTTTCACATAACAATTACGTGCTCCGAGCTAACTATTCAATAAAACTCTCACTAGGGTCGTAACGTATACAACTTCAACGTGTAAACGTGAAGCAAAACTAGTGTCGCGAAACCTTTGATGCTGCCGGGGTCATGACTTCAGCGATATTGTGAATTTCACTAAGAGAACTTACTTTTAGAACTAGTTTCACGAAATCTAAACACGTCTAATATAATAAATTCAAACGCCGATAACAAATGCATGCAGAGTTATAAATAATATAATATATATTTATAAATGACATCTAGTATACATATATATTTTATTTAAATGCCAATGAACAGCAACTCGTAAAATCTCCAGAAAATATGAATACAAACAAACATGACACATTTTGTATAGATTTTCTTCTTATGACAATGTATTGTACATTGGTAACAAGTAAAATTACACGAAATGTTGGAAATTTAACTGCAAGTAGTGACTCCAAAAGATTCCGCACAGCATTTATACGTAAAATAAAATATAATTCCTGTTCTGGTAATCAATAAATTAATATAATGTATGTTACGACAATTATAAGTTTTGTAGATATAGATCATTAGAAGAAAAAATATACGGTACTTTATTGGGTTTAATACTGGTATCGGGCATTTCTTAAATAAGTCGACCTAAAAATAATGTAACTAATAACCTGTTACAAGTTCGTTGACAAGGTTTCTGGAGATTTTGTTATTAATAAAAATGTAAGAAATATTTTGCTCATTTTTATTTAGATACTTATTTAACATTTCATTTTTGTATAATGGAACATTTATGTTAATAAATATTCAGTGAATTGAGTTATTATAATTTTGTCTGAAGAATTTTGTTAACCATTATAAATTTTGATGCGTCCTATTTCTGTACTATGAGGCAAATGTCTTGATAAATATTTTAATATTCTTCTCGTTTACTATTAAATATTTTAAGTTAGTAATAACGTAGTTATATATTCTATTTATTCGGTCAAATACTAAAATATATTAAATCGGGTTGTAAATATAAATATCTTGAACAAAAATGAACATAATCAGAGCTTTGAAAAGATTCAAATACTTAATAATTGAAACTAAGAATACAACAACGACAAATAGTTTACGATATGTTAAGTATAGTACAAGAAAAATGTTAATTAAGTAATTCTGAGTGCGTTTGTTGTGCTGTTAGGGATTAAATGACTGAATGTGAGAGAATAATGATTGTATGAAATGTGAGTTGATACCGAATCGTGATACCAAAGTAGAAGCATGAAATATAGGTTTGTTGGTAGAGACAAGAAAAATTCCATTGTCAGAATATTACAAGAAATAAATAATTTCTCCTCAATACAATAACCATAGTATGCTTTTCTAAACAGTTTTTATAATCTATGTCCGTGTAGGTCAGGTGAAGTGTACTAAGGAACAATAAAGACAAACTCATCTATTAAAGTAATGCAACTTAGACGGTCTACAGACTAATTCGATCAATGCTACTAGAAAGTACATAGTGGATACTTGAAACAAACAGTCGTAAGGAACTTTACCGTGCGGTGATGCTCGCAACTCGCTACGGCCCAACTGGGAGCTACAGGAGCTCAATCTAACGCTATCAACCTTATAGAAGTACCTATAGCACTAAAACAACGTGCTCAGTATGAGTTAATACAAATGCACAACCGACAACAACTTTGATTATTTATTATTAATTTATTATCATCAAACAGCCTTAAATCAATGTCACGTAATGACCCAGAATAGGGCACTCATAATAATAATGTTTGCAGTAAGTATATTTTTCTTTATTCTAAATTCGAATCATCATATTTTATAAGTGTCTATACTTACCGCTATCAAAATCCTCATTAGAGTTCATGGCGGCCATCTTGGTGTTGGTGATGTCTTTGAATGAAGCGAGAAACAAAACCACTTCTCGTTTCTCATTCTTAATGGGGACGATGTCGAGAAGACACCAAAAGGGAGTACCTACGATAAAAAAGGAGTAAAAATATATTATATTTAAAATTATAAAATTTTCAACGAACAACAAGGTTTATTTGTGTATTTAAAGACGTATTAATATAAAATAGTAAGTACCTAGTAGTAAAGAGAAAATTTGTTTCTGAAATGATTGTATGTATTCTTGGTACTATTACCATCTGATTCTTAGAGGCAGTAAATGAATGGTGACGACAAACATCTGCGTGCTTGTAAAAGTTTAATTTTGTCGAATGGAATCGTAAACCTCTTATTGGTTTTTGTTTACGATTGTTGCTTGGAGGATGTTTTGCAAAACAGTTTGAAAATTAATATTTAAAATTATCCTAATTCTTTTTGTCAATATGAAAGTCAACTCAAAATGTAATCTTTTCAATGGAAAACCAGCTGACGAGTCATAGGTAACATATATCCAACATAAAAATACGGAGGACTTAAAGAGAAAAGGTCTGTGATTTTATAAATTGATTTCCGGTCCTGACCCGAATCAAACACTAGGTTGCTTTGAAGTGGAATTAAAAAAGTAGCTTTGATCAGTTCGTATGTGAAATTTTGATTGGACTGACGTTGTCGGAATATAACCAGTTTGAAAAAATATATGGGGCGAAATTCTATGGAATGTGTAATTATTCAAGCATACACTTCTGAATGAATTTATTGTAATTATATCTATAATAGACTCCCAATTGCCTTGGAATTGGACACACAATAAATCTGAAACAGGAATGTGATAGGAAATAATTTGAAGTTAGTTTTTTCAGTAATACTGAAAAATTTGTTGTTTGGTAATACCACAGATAACATAATATTACATCCTAACTAAGCACACATATGTGATAAGGGCCAGTTGGATTTTATTAAAATTTAGAAATCTTAATTAGCGTATTTTAATTAGTTATATTATTCTTTTTACTATAGAAAAATATTATTTTCTCTATGCTATAAATAAAATCAGTTATTTGGGTCATAATATAGTTATAATACATTGCAAGAATTTGCAACTTCTTGTTGATATTACACTGTCGGGAATAGTCATGGCGACAGAAAATTAAACCTATTAACACAATTCTCATTGAGTCTACATTTCCCCTACTAATTAAATAAAATGTCACTAGACTGTAACAAGCCTACCTGGGTTCCTCAGTTTCACCTATTTCAGTCACCAAGCAGCTTGTTTTGTGAGCTGTGCTATAGTTATAAGATGCAGATTAGGCAATGAAATTTCAGTAAATAACATTTAGATCTCTGGAATGGCAAGGCTTAAGTGGTATTACGGATGTCACATGATAATGTAATGATGGTAGTGTAATGTCCGTAGTACCACAGATAATATAATATTCCATATTTTCGGTATTGCTTTTATAAAACAATAGATTTAATAAAACCAAACCGCCTTCGAGTATCTCTATATTGTATACTCCTTAAAGCTGGCTGGTAGAAAATGCTATATATCTATATTAGCATGAAGCCCGCCTATTGTACTGGTAGTACTAATCATTCGTATAGGTTAGGTTCGGTTACGGTTATAGTGTACCATCATCTGAATTAGTTTGCCTTTACAATTATAGAAAAAACTTTTCATTCTTTTTTCGAAACTATCATAGTATAACGGTATGTCTGCAAAATAAGCAAAATAACACTGCTATCAAAATAAGAATAAATTTGAAAAATGTTAATGTCACCTTATTGTCGTAATTGTAACTAATTCTTAAAAGTTACAAATATATTTTTTTTCCATAAACGAACTAGCTATAATGTAAATAACATTGTGGCTAGTTCGTTTATGGAAAAAAAATATATATGTAACTTTTAAGAATTAGTTAATATAATATGTGTCATATAGGCAGCGGTTACCATGATCATTAGATGGACCGTCAATTTATTGTCATTTCAAGTGTATAAAAAAATAAGAATCTAGCGGAGTAGGTATATGAAAGTATAGTAAACACCTAATTAACATAATATAGTGTATTAATGAAGTTTGGAACTCACCAATTTTTTTGTAAAATATAAGTTCGAGTTTGAGTTCGTGTTTGGATTCGAGAGCGATATCGATTTCATGGCGATGCTCCTCTCTAGTGTCTGGTCCATGTAGAAACTTGCACGCGCAGCCTTTTTGCATAATGTGTGCTCGGGCCCACCCAGTTAGCTCACAGAAGCCATCCGAACAATACACGATTGGGTACGCAGGCACTTGAGCATTGCCCAGAACGAAGTTGCTATCTGTAAACAAAGGAAAATAAAGTAATGAAAATAAATATTTATTTAAATGTGTACACGGTACATAATGAGGGTATATATCTTATATGTCCCGCCAAAAATGTAATTGGTATGCAAAATATTTAAATTATGAAATAATAATGATTGAATTAGTCAATATTATAAATAGGTAATACCTATCTATATAAAATTTATAAATTAATTCTTTAACATCATATTCTGAATATGACTATTATAAAAATATATCAAGAAATGTAATTAAGGATGTTTATTGTCAAAAAATTGTAAAAAATATTTATTTGATTATTTATGAAAGTCTACATCTATGTATATGTAATTTTTCAACTTAGTAACAGAATTTAGTAGTACATTATCGATTTGTAGTATGATATTCAGAGTCATATACTACAAATAGATTTGAATCTACTACTATATACAGTATATAGTAGTAGATTAATTATCATATTAGTGTTTTAGCTTAGTATCAAGCTAATAGATTTTGTAATGTATTCTTATAAGAAAACAATATAAAATTTATTAGAAATCAGGTCAGTTTACTTGTGACCATGGCGGTTGAAACACTGCCGAAATATTGGGATCTCGATAAAAATAAAACTTGGTAAGATCCCGTGATTTATTAATTACTAGCTATTCGCCCCGGCTTCGCCCGGGTGTACATGTATTATATATATAAACCTTCCTCTAGAATCACTCTATCTATTAAAAAAAAACACTTTCAAATCCGTTGCGTAGTTTTAACGATTTAAGCACACATAGGGGCAGACAGGGACAGCGACTTTATTTTATACTATGTTAATAATTAGAAATATTCATATGTTTACTATAATTATATTAATATAATCTAATTAATTATATAATCTTAAGGGCTACAAAGAACAATCACGTTCGCTCGCTAAGTACAAAAATCTTTACTTCTAAAAATGAAGCCTTTTTATTGTTTTGACCTAGGACAATATATGGTATATTTTGAGAGCAGAACTTTAGTATAATTTGATTTTATTTCATTACTTGTTACTCTACTATAGAAATTAAATATCTATATATCAACTCATTCATTATTTGAAGCGTAGGTACTGTATAGCTACTTCTAAATTATACCCGAAGAGTTACAATGATCGGACTTTAAATTAAAAAGCAACTTACTTTACAACCCACTTGTCCTACTCTTGTGTAAGTTTCTTTAGTTGTTCAAAAACTCTAAGCTCTCATACATCATACATCAAAGCTGCAATAAGAGACACATTTCATATCAAAGAAACAAAATAAGTACTCATATTACAAAGTTAAATTCAATGTGATGAATGGTCATCGTAAGGTTCATTCGTATTTTATTCGCAGCAGTAAGTCTTTATTTTATACATATCTTAATATGATTTTTACATGTACATACGTTACTTTTTATGTATATGTACACTTATACATATACATAAAAAGTAGTATACCTACAGGCACGTACATGTTGCTCATCTAAAGTAGTATGTTATATGAATAATAAATAATAAGTAGATAAATTTATAATTACAACTTGCAATAGAACCTCAATGTAAGCCCGCGATATAAAATTGTCTAGCCTCACCATTATTGTACGAACAATCATTAAAACAAAAATTAAGTACTATAATATAAATGAAATAATTTTTCAAGGTGAGAAGACTGTTTTAGATATTGACATGTGCTGGAGCTTTTTTAAAGCCTTAGATGTAGGTAGTATGCTTATGTTTTTGTGTTACGAGTAACTAAAGTGGTTTTATAGATAAAATATATAAACTGCTCAAAACTTGGTTCCTTTGATGACCTTATACGATGATGTGCACCTTATATTTTAATTGGATTTTAGGATGGGCAGTAGCTGAAGGTATTATAGGTACTTTGACAACACACTCACAAAAAATATTATGACACTAATTAAATGATTATCCAATCAAATCAAATCCAATGAAATCTCTTATAATAACCATGTTTGTTTAACACTTGCTCTTACTGCCTCTATCCTAAACATCAACTATGTATATTATTGATGCATTTATATAATAGCATAAGAACTATTCATAGAAGAATCAAAAATAAAACGGACACCACATTCAAATTACCGCGTAATTTACGCACCCGGATACAGCACATTTATATTTAAATGTGGTTATTATAATGTGCTAGAAAAAAAGTAATAATAATAATCATCTTTACATATAACAAGATTTCGCGTAACAGACACATAAACATCAATCATTTTGATTGTCATGAAATAATCACAACTATCGGTCGTAGGTAATATTAAACATATAAACAAATTCTGCGATAGATATATCTATAATACATCTATATGGCGTGAGGCAGCTAACTAGTTTAAGTCTTCCTACCTGTCATGAAATGAGACACCCTTTAAGCTTCTTTATAAATTCTTACAACTTTTGTTTCATCCAATTTCACAACTTGTCTTATGCATACACGCACATGCGTACATGACCTGTCCGCGCATGATGGGACAATTTAAGGTTTTTCAACTTTCGGATCTTTTATTTGTTTCATTATTCTTTCGTCTGCTATTTTTTCTACAAAGTAAAGTAGCACAAATGACTTTTCTTGTTTTAAAGTGGTTAACCGTTTACCCGTAATATGTAAAAAGTTTTCCCTATTAGCAACACATGAGGGATTCATATACCTTGGATATCATTCCCACAACGAAGTTTTATACATTTTATACATTATTTTATACAAGTGTTGCGATTTCACAAATATCGAACAATTGCTTTATGAAAATAATAATTTGCCCTACAATTTGCTGTGATATTGAAATATTTTACGATATATATTTTAGTAAATATGTAATGCCTTTGCCAATTTTTAGAATAAAAACTCAACTTTCAGTTTCATACAATAGCGTACACACAATGCAGTTATGAAATGGTATCGGAAAAAATTTTTAAATGCAAAATGGAAAAAAGGAATGCTACTAGGCTAGGCTAGCTCTATGTCTGATCTTTTAATTAATACTTCCTGTATTAATTCAAAACGTAAATAATAAAAATCTATTATTGAATAATAATCTTATTTTGGATCGCGCCATTATCGATTGAGCAAAATTAGGTATAAAACAAATTTTATATAAATATACCCATTTAAAAAATCCTGGTCAACTCGATAATTAATTTTTGAAAACAATCCATTTCATATATATAATACATAAAACAAAGTCGTTGTTTTTGTTGTTTGTGAGTTTTCCGCACATTTCTTTTAAATCAAGTAGCTAATTTTAGTACGGTTTTCACTATCTTTTTGATAATTTCTTCCATATCGATAGTTTATATGTATAGTATATACGTACAGATCCACGAATTACGCCACAATTAATGTATACCAGAGGTTGGTAGCTAGAAGATAAATATGAATTGGATTTTTATTTGGGGCAGTTCGCCATACACAGAACACTTTATAATAATATAATAGCCACTGACCCCTCCGATCGATCCCCCGTCCACCTCTCCGATCGATCACCCCTCCAATTCAATCGGGGATCGAAATTACAACGGCGCGAGCCGAGGTTGGAACCCCTAGCGGTGCCCTCAGTCTAAAGTAGTATCCGTTAGGCGGGAGTTGACCTTCAGCCGCTCCATAAGTCCTTCCGCGAGTTTGGAGTACCCTCTGCACTCGCCCCTATCATCCGTTGAAGCTGCAAAGGGCAGCTGCGGCTAACAAATAATAATAATATATATATAACAATAAAAATAATACTAGTATATAAGAACATTGTTATAGTAGAGTTTTGATGTCCTTCAGTATCTGTAGTAACTTACAACTATTTGGACAGAGGCCAAGCGGAAACCTTATATACACTTTAGGTCTGTTCTTTATCTAATTGTCTGCTCTAATTCTAAATTTTCATTCTTAGAACTGTTAAATCTATATACAAATACGTCTATAGCCATTGATGTGATAGAAGACTTAGGAAAACTGTTTATTATTTTAGAAATAATCCAAAATATATAATAGACGGTGCTATTTCATTTCATCGCCTGAAAAGCCTCAGAAGTAAAGTGTAAAGGGTACCATAGTGCATAATAAGTATAGTAGTCCAAAGAAATGAAAACTAGAAATAACATCCTACTAGCAAATTGAACAGCGAGAGAGACAATGTACAACAGGTAGGTACTTCATAGTATATCTGTATTTTTTTTATAAGTTATAGATACAGTTCGTCTGCCCTCGTCCAGCGCCTCGCCCTTGATATTCAATACCCGTATTAAATATCAGAGGCGCTAGAATAACTGACGAGACATATTTGTGGAATAAATTGTTAATTTTTAGCCGCTCAGTTATCAATTACTGGAAAGAGTTGTAGAAGCGCGGCCGGAGACTGCAAAACTAATGTAATGTAATGAATTGGTAAGAAACTCTGCTCTTAATAAAGCGTGGCATAGTATTATTTGCAGACGATACTTCATTGATTTTTAAAGTTAATAGAATGACTAATAATTATGACGATGTAAATAGTGCTTTGCGGCGTCTCCTGCACTAGTTTACAACTAACAATCTTATGTTAAACGCTAAAAAAACAAAATGTGTTAATTTCTCTCTGTCTAAAAGTTTTAATACTAATTGCAATATTAAATTAAATGACGAATCTCTCGAATTTATAGAATCTACTGTCTTTCTAGGAATCACACTAGATAATAAAACACAATGGGGTGCACAAATTCAAAGCCTTGCAGCGAAACGAAAAGATCAGCAGCTTTTGCCGTGCGTAAGGTTAGACAGTACACTGATACTGATACTGCTAGATTAGTCTATTTTAGTTATTTTCATAGTTTACTCTCTTATGGAATATTACTATGGGGAAAAGCGGCAGATATTAAAAATATATTCATATTACAAAAACGTGCCGTTCGAGCGATCTACTGTATGAAGAGTCGTGACTCATTAAGAAAGAAAATCAAAGAGGCAAATATTCTCACCGTTGCTTCTCAATTTATATATTCAAATATCCT